TAGCTAGATTTTTTTTAATATCAGATATTTTACGTTGCGACATTGATATGAAAAGTACATGTAAGACTACATTTTGATATATTGGACTCTAATTAACAGGTCTTTTATATCACTAAAGATTCTTTATAGAAATAAGGGTAACAAATGAGCACACAGTCTACCTGCTGGTAAGTAGATGCTGTAGCCCTTAGGCCTTCATCTACATCTATCCTCAATAAAAATAAAAATGCAGAGGGGTTGTCACCCCTTTTTTTTTTTTTTTTGTACACGGGGAAATGCCTACACATACCCGCCTCGCGGGGGCAAGGACGGGTTATGTCGGACTCGTACCGACTAAAACCCCATGGTGTTCCACCTTTGTCGCTATTGGCAGGGCCACGGGAACGCTTTCGCACACATCCGCAGCCCCACCAGCGCCTGCCGCCCCATGGCAGCACCTCCTCGGGAGCGGAATATTCCACCCCGTTCTCCTTCACAGGTAAGGCGCACCAGAACACATGGCGCGCCTTCCTTCTCGGCCTCTAATTACATCTGCGCAACGGACGCCCCCGCGTCCAATGCAAGAAGGCCATGGGGCCAGGAAAAACAAGCACTTAGAAGTACTAGCCTTCCCGACCCCAGCGGCGGATCTGGTCTATGGCTCCGCCGCCAACCAAGATTCGGCTGCGGAGGGTAGGGGAGCGGCGCCTCGCAATACCGACAATCCTCTCCCCCCGCAGCCCCACCACCACCGCATCAACGGTGCGGCCCCGTTTGAGTCGCGGAGGATAGGGCGAGTGGCGCATCGCCATACCAACACTCCTCTTCCTCCGCGACTCCACCTCGGCTGCAGCGGTAGGTGGGGAGGACACACTCTCACCTCCACCAACACACATCCGAAGTGGGCTCCCCAAGCCCACTCGGAGTGGCCACCTCGGGCCGGCCCTCCACCTTGGACCAGCCATATGGGTTCCTCTTTGTTTCGCCGTGGGTGACCAAGCCACGGCTTCTAAGCCCCCCCGCCACGACAAGGCGGGAACCCGTTCGGGGGGAGGGGGTTGTCACCCCTGAGAACTAAGATGCCTTATTTCCAGTAAAAGTAGTCCCTGCTTCTCTACACCCACCATACGAAACCCAGCAGTATTCTGTGAAAGTTTTATCATTCTTCGGTCGAGCCGACTTATTTGTGCTGAAACCATAATGAATACCTGTGGGTACCATGGGTCTACCTCTACGACATGCTAAAGATTTTATAGTTTTCACTCATGGACGCAATTAACTAACTTTAAGGGTACACTAGCCACTCATTCTTCCATATAAACATAGTCTGGTTATAACTCCACTGTTTGATGGCGTACGTTAAAAATAAAAAAAATTATTTCAATTTGTCATTATCTAGCCCTGTATGGAAACAAAAAAGTAAAAAAAAACAATATATTAAAAAGTACTAATTTTAACACATCTTTGGGCGGAAATAAATAAGAAAGAACGAAAATTGCAAAACAGTTACCATACAGGATTAGATTAGGTGTTCAAAAATGCAAATAATTTTATTTTGAACAGATACATTCAATAGATTTTTCATGATATCCAGAATCCAAAAGGTCTGTTTATAAAATTTCGCGCGCTCGTTTTTGTTGTAAATCATCATGCTTTACGCTTTCGCTTTCGCTCAGATAGCATGCATTTTAACCCCGCCGACCACTTAGTTCGTTCCATCGATTAGGTCCACCTTAAGAATATAATACTGTATCAACATTATGGATATCTTATAAACGACCTAAATTTTATGACAAAATGTAAGTGTAAGTACTGATTTATCTTTGTTTTTTAACCGTTTATAAGCAAGTGTTTGACTGTACAGACTGTAAAACGGGGAATTCACTAAACGAACATGCCCACGAGCTGTTTATCCGAGCATGTCTGTAGCCGCAATACCATGGTAATTTTATCTATACAGTATTCCAACTCCATACAAACGGACGAAGCGAGAGCTATGCCTTCGCACCTCGATCTCGGCATGCAGACAGTCGTGACTGCCGCAGTGATGATTTTGTGGAATGTATATATATATAAATGGAGGAAATAACTCCTTTTCTCCACCTTGTCCATATTTCCCAAAACAATTTTTAATTAAGCTTTATATTAGAATGCGGACTTTTATACTTAAAATTTTAATGATAAAGCTTTTCGTACGTTTCAGCCGAGGCGCAAATATTTTTCGGTCGCAAATTTATAAGACCGAGACACGCATTTTTATTGTTATTCAAACATAAACATGGTTTTTTAATTAAATCTACCGGTCAAAAAACGACACGCATTTTTATTGAACACTTCCTATTCAATTCACAAAGTACCTATTACATTTGTTTATATAAAAAAAGTATATTTACAATCATAAAACTAAATGGAAACACAAAGTAGGCAAATGTAAAAATGCTGGAGGCAGGCAGCCCTATCGCATGTTTACGTACGGCGCGACTGTAGGCATTTATTTCAAAAGATATAAAAAAAAGTATATTTACAATCATAAAACTAAATGGAAACACAAAGTAGGCAAATGTAAAAATGCTGGAGGCAGGCAGCCCTATCGCATCTTTACGTACGGCGCGACTGTAGGCATTTATTTCAAAGATACGACCGAGTTACAATACTGTATAGATAATATTACCGTGGCAATACTCTACACAGATTTATCAGTTTGTTTTAGACCGGCAACGTGATAAGTTGTGCGTGCACATTAAGATGACAACCTACTTGCAATGCTTATTATTTATTAATTAATAACTTGGTGCTAAGAATGGTATTAAAATAGAAATAAGTTTAGCCATATCAAACTAGATAAAGAATTAGAAATTGATAAACTAGAAGACCTGTACAATTACTTGCGCATGGATATAGAGTCGTATAAACTCTTCCCAGAATATTTTGGTATCATTCAAACTCATTGCAAATGCCCGTGGGCATGTCCGTCTAGTGAATTCCCCGCTAAGCGGATTGAAGAAGTGACACTGACTGATTATACCACTCTGTACCTACGCGTTATGAAAGACGAAGCGAACCATTTTGGTTTGAATGTGTGGAATATCGCCAACCAAGGAAACCCGCCTATAGCCTGGTTATCCAATTGTATACACCTCAATTCGTGCCCAATTCTATTAAGGCTAAAACATAACTTCAAAATTGACAAATTGGAGAGAAAGTGTGATATTTTTTTCTTTATTGTAGGTACATTAACAAGGGGCTGTTAGCCTCCAACATTATCGGAATGGTATCATAATTGCAATAATACTTAGTTTGAGCAAACAAAATAATATTAAAAAAAATATCCAATGAAACTTACATTCTGGCATTTCAATTGATTTTAAGTGCCTAACGCAACTCATGAACAAATGTAGCCAATATAGCTGTAGCAGGCTCTACCACGTAGACTTTTCTCCAACAATTATAGAAATAAAACACTAACACACAATATGATTAGGTATTTATTAATAGTTTGTTTCCGTATATACAATAAACAAGGCTCCTATAAAAGGAAGGTTAGCAAAAAAACACTTTTCGAATTCTTTTATTCTTCTATGCCTTATCTTCAAGGTCTTATAAGGGTGACAAACGAGCACACAGTCCACCTGATGGTAAGTGGATTCACTTGTCCATAGATATCTACATTTTATCCTCGATTAAGAATCAAAACGCAGACGCGTTGTCACCCCTGAGGACTAAGATGGAATGCCTCCTTTCCAGTAAAAAAGGGTCTCCAGATCTCTACACTCACCATAATATGGTGAGTGTATGTCATATTATGAAACACAGCAGTATTATGCTGCTATTTTACGCTGGTACTCTGTGAGGACGTGGTCCTTCCCCGTTCGAGCCGACCCAGTCGTGCTACAATCATAATATAGCCAAAGCATGGCTCTACCACGTATTTATATATACAGGCGAATCCGGCGAAAGTCTCGGACGCAAGGACCAAGGGGGCGTTAAGATTGCCTTTGCACACGTCGCTTATTTACAAAATACATATTATAATATAATATTTTCAATAAATAAAAGAGCAAGCGCCTGAAGCATTTTACTTGTAACTTCTTTATTTTAGGGTAAAAATAAGAATTTGAATCATTTTGTGTCTCTCGTCTATCGTTAAAGATTTTAAATTAATTTCGTAAGCTCTCTTCTCTACATCTTTTTAGTTACTACGGACTAGGGACGTAACGATTCCGATACCGATATAATTTAAACAAAGTTTATATTAATAAAGAAATGTTTTCTTTGAATTTTGAAATTTTGATTTGATATTTTGATTTGATATTTTGTATGTGTGTGTACATGTAATTTTTATACATAATAAATATAATTATTCATTATTTATTTGTCTTTTTTTTTTCTATTTCTACTCAGTCACCGATAAGGGTATCGGTATCGCCGATTATTTACTACAATAATCGGTATCAGTATCGTATCGGTACTATTATATATCGATACATCCCTACGACAGACCGTAACTGAAATACTTGATAATAATGAATTAACATATTACTAAATATTTAAAAACTACATCTATACAATACTATGTGTAATATTATAAATGCAAAATAAATCTGTCTGTTACCTTTTTACATTTGCTAAACAGTTTTCAATTAGGTAAGGACATAGACTAACTGCATACTGGAGAAAGATATTTTACCTTATTCTCTGGGGAAAATTTAATTTAATGTGGACGAAACACCAGGGCTTTGCGCGACTGTAAATTTAAAAAATCTAATAACAGACCAGCCCGGGGGGGGGGGGCAATATTCATAGTTAGCCTAGGGCTGCTAGAACTCTAAATCAGGCGCTGACTATCTCTTACTTATCACCAATTTAAAAATGTAAAATAATTTGATTAATTTTAGTTATTTGAAGATAACTTTTACTTTAAATTTTTATGCGTTAATGTTGAAGATTTCAAAAAGATTTTAAATTTTAGTATGGCTAAGAATTATATACAATATATAATTTGAACATTTCTTATATCATATTCATTGACTTGGAGTGGCGGCACGTAGTGACTTCTCCAAGTTCTTCAACGCAGGTGTGACGCTGGTGCCCAAGTCTTCGACCACACTTGACAAGTATACTGAAAAAAATTAAAAAGATTTTTTAGTAATGAATATTTTCTCTTCTTGTAATCTTTTATTTTGGACGTAGATACAGTAGTATAATATAGTTTAGGCCGCAACTAGAAATCGTCAACGCAAAGATAGATGTAGGTATGGGTTACATCACCCACTTACCGTCAGGTGGTCAATGTGCTCGTTTGTCACCATTTATATTTAAAAAAACATATTTAATAACTTTTGAACTGATTACGGTCAAGAAGGGTTTTGTGTATCATTTAATAATCACAGCGCTATTGTGAAAATATAAATATATGAAATAAAGTACAAGGCAGTCTTATCGTTCTGTAAGCAATTTCTTCCAGGCAACCATATTACGCGAAGAATTGTTCACAACGTTTTTTATACGTGGTAGAGCCATGCTGCAGTTATATTAGTAGTATAGTTGTAGCACGAATGGGTCGGCTCGACCGGGGAAGGACCACGCTCTCACAGAATACCAGCGTCAAATAGTAGCTTAATGCTGTTGTGTTTCGTATGGTGAGTGTAGTGAACCGGACACCCTTTTTACTGGAAACGAGGCTTTTCATCTTAGTCCTCACGGGTGACAACGCATCTGCATTTTGATTCGTAATCGAGGATAGATGTAGATGTCTATGGGCCACAGCAACCACTTACTGGTAGACTGTGTGCTCGTTTGTCACCCTATCCTATTAAAAAAAAAACAACGAATGGCTAGGAGGAAGGTGTACATTATACAATTATACAATGACGTTAAAAAAATAAAAATAAAAACACAACAAGATGACAGTTGAGGAAAGTTTTTTTTTAAAGGAGAGGGGGCAAACGAACATCCGGCTCACCTGATGGTAAGTGATTACCGCCGACCATGAACAACTGTAACACCATGGGTTATGCAGATGCGTTGCCGGCCTTTTTAAAAGGAGTAGGCTCTTTTCTTGAAGGTCGTAAGAAATAACGGGAAGTATAATCGGAAATATTATAAATCTAAGTAATAAGCTTTGACTAGATTTAGCTATAACAGATATTGATTTATTGATGAAGGAGGATGAATATCCAGTACGAACAGAAAGATTATTAGAGCGGTTTTTACTATTCGAAAGACCTTAGTCTGTTATCGTTCCGAAATATGAGAAAGTTACCACGAGATAGCTTAAGCTGTCTCTATTATACGATCTCATAATAAGCGTGGGTTATGACTCCCTGGACATAACAACTTCGACGCGTATCAAAACCGCGGGGCAAGAGCTTAAGGGTACAGGGGTTACAGGGTGCTTATGAGTACATTGCCCAATGACCTTGAGGATTTGTGGATTAGACTTAGAGTCGTCGACACACTGATGTATTGCCTCCCGAGTATGCATCACAGGACTTTGCGCGGGCGCTTATCGCAGGGTGCTAGTGTAGTTTTGGGTATTACTTTATTATTCAAAAATGGTAAATGAAATTAAAAAAATAAACAATAGAAATTGTTAAATGCTTCATTGCAGCTTTTTTTTTTGGTATATAATACATGCCTAACTATTAACAAGTTATTGAGGCAATTTACAATTTGCCTTTTTTTATAGGATAGGGTGACAAACGAGTACTCGTTTGCACCCATCCAAAAACTTTGTCCACCTGATGGTAAGTGGTTGCTGTGGCCCATAGACATCTACATCTATCCTCGATTACGAATCAAAATCCAGATGCGATGTCACCCGTGAGGACTAAGATGGAATGCCTCGTTTCCAGTAAAAAGGGTCTCCGGTTCTCTACACTCACCATACGAAACACAACAGCATTAAGCTACTGTTTGACGCTGGTATTCTGTGAGAGCGTGGTCATTCCCCGGTCGAGCCGACCCATTCGTACTACAACCATACTACTAATATACAGCATGGCTCTAACACGTATAATACCTTAAATAGAGTCTATTTGCTTCGATTGTTTTCCAAAATTTGAACACTTTTATTAAAATTTTAAACAATACAAGTTATTTGTGATCTTAAGTTAAACATATATTTTTTATGAGGCACAGGCACAAAGAGATTCATATACAAACTTCTTTGAACATAGGATGCTTTTGGGATTTGAGCGATGTAATCCCCTTAATAGAGGGTTAATGTAGATATAAAAACTGCGGCTACCAACTCTCCTGCAAAGTACGGCAACGATGGACTTTGATTGTAATGAATAAATGAAAAAATGTTAAAGTTACAATCATATAACGAACGCTCATATAACGTCCCACAGCTGGGCACAGGCCTGTTCTCATTTCTGAGAGGGTTTTAGCGCAAGGAAATATTCACCGCGCTACCTCAAAGCGTGTTGGCAAACTTCACATGTCTTCGAAATATTTTTAGACATGCAGATTTCATCACGATGTTTTCCTTCAAACGGTGATCGGTACTTAAAATTGCAATTAACAATTTCATTGGCGCCGGTAGCTACCACGGCTCTGAATAAAAATATATAAATAATTACCAATGTCGGTGAGGCAGCGCTTCGTGCCAAGAGCGTCCATGTTGCGTATGTTCAGGATTTTCTCGGCGTAAACTTCGCACGTGTGCGTGCAGACCTGGAACAAATTGTTTAATTATTGATGATGTAAGAATATCTACTACCCTGTATCATCCCGTGGGTGCCGTAAGAGGCGATAGAAGGAAACAAATCAGGAAATGGGCAGCACCGTCTTCTTCATAACGACTAAAAAAAAAACTGCGGCTGCCAACCCTCTTGCCAAGCGTGGCAACTATCCCCCAGATAAGGTATTCTATGGATCTTAAAGTCGCTCGGACCAAACAAACATCCCTTAATAGAATCTCAATAGACCTTAATATCGCGATTTACAAAATTCGTGTTATAAATACAGCGCCATCTATGAATAACTCATACTCACACACAATAATTACTGTTGCGCGCTATAATTAGCGCCTGGTATGTGGCCGCTGATTATTAGCGCCATCTGGTATCAAGCAGCAGAAATAGGAGCGTCAAGATCTTTCTAGAACTCTCCCACTAGCGCCATCTAGTATCGAATGAAAGAATTAAGCTTTCTAGAAAGCTCCACACTCGAACTTTCTGCACCTGGTTGGTGGGGGGCCGGTAATTGCTGGAATATTCTGGATGTTTCGGTGGAAAAGGCCTATTTAAAGCCGTTGAGGGTCGCGACCGGGGCAGTATTGAATTGGTGATACGAGCGAAGCTTTCTCAGCGAAATAAAGTAACTAAAGTGTTAAGTGTGATTAATTATTAGTATGTTTTAAATTTTAATTTGTGTTCGATAGTTAAAGTGTCAATTTTGGTAATTCAATCGGCAGTTTTTATTGTCACGAACCCTAAGCTCGTAATATTACTATTACATATTATTAGTACAGCGCCATCAATTACCTCACTTACACTATTATTACTGCTACATATTGCGGGTATTGAACAATGGAGGAGGCCTATGTCCAGCTGTGGACTTTAATTTGCTTTAACGGTAACATTAAGAATATCCACTACCTTAAATCGCCCCGTGGGTGTAGGAAGAGGCGACAGGGGAAAAACCCGGGGATGGGCCGCAGCGTCAAAAAAAAACTGTAGTTGTAAACCCGGCCGTGGAGCGTGCTATATCAAATATCTCCCGTATGATCATAGCAGAGTAATTCTGCTGTGTTTCGTATGGTGTGTGTAGAGATGCAGAGATGGTTTTTACTGGAAATAAGACATTCCAGGAGCCGTGGTAGCTCAGATGGTTAGCGCTCGCGGTAAATTTCACAATACGCGAGCAAACCGGGTTCGATCCCCGCCGGCACCAACGAAATTGTTAATTGCAATTTTAAGTGCTGATTTACCACGTGCTCGGCGGTGAAGGAAAAACATCGTGAGGAAACCTGCATGTCTGAGAAATAAGAAAAAAATATATTTCGAACACATGTGAAGTTCACGCATTGGGGCAGCGCGGCGGACACTTTCTTGCCCTAAAACCCCCTCAGAAATGAGAGGAGGCCTGTGCCCAGGAGTGGGACGTATATAGGCTGTAACTTTACTTTACTTTAAGGCATTCCATCTCATTCCTCAGGTGTGACAACGTAAAGGCACTTTGAATCTTAATCGGGGATAAATGTAGATGCCTATGGGCTACAACATCCACTTACAATCAGATGTACTACGTGCTCCTTTATCACACTTATTTTATAAAAAAAAACTGTGTGAATAAGGTCTCAATAGATCAAGTAATGAATTGACGCAATCACTAAGCGACGCACCAACGATTATGTGTATAAAATATTGTTGCGCTCCATAATTAATGCCTAGTGCATGGCGAGTTGCCACTAGCGCCATCTAGTATCAAGTAGCAGAACTAGGAGAGCTTTCTAGAAAATTCCATACTAGAACTTTCTACACTCAGTCAGTCGGAACCGGTATGTACTCGAACATTCTTGATGTTTCAGTAGAAGATAAAGGTCGGTAAGGACCGCGACCGATTTAATATTATATAAACACTCATGTGTTACCCAGAGGGTAGGCAGACTACAGACTTATATGGCACGATCCTGACACACTTCTCACGCCTTCTTCTGAAGGGCAGGTACTCTTTAATTTGGCCATCTCAAATGTTCGTCTAGTTATAGTGCTTCCCTTGTACTGTCATTCACTTTTGCAACATATACGTTGCTACATATTCGCCCTTATGAGCGGGCGTTGCTTAGCGATGACGTAGAATATCGTCCGATGTATGACGTAGGGGTGGCGTGATGTTTAGGTCCGTTCTAGCTACTAATTTACTCGCCACAGTAGGAACTAACACAGCATAGTGCATTGCCATATAATATTCTTTTTTGACACATTCTGACTGCTCACAACATGAGTACAATTTAAAAATAAATAGTTAGTATGTTACCTCAGATAAGAACTGCCATGGCGCTTGTTTCTCCGGCAGGTGCATCTCAAGATGCTGCGGTAGAGTCATCAAGTATTGGCCGATCTGAAAACAGATGTGCTCTAAACAAGTGGGAGTTGGCATATCTTGACGTGACGTAACGATTGCTACGTGGTAGAGCCACGTGGAAGCATATAGCTGCAGCAAGAATAGGTCGGCTCGACCAGAGTAGGGCCACGCTCTCACTACCAGCGTGAAAATGGCAGTACCCAAGCCTTCGTACGTAACACTGTAGCGTATTATAGCAAACTATGAATTGGTCGGCTCGAAAAACTATGATCTGTTATAGATCAATGTAAAAGTAATTGCTATATTAAGCATTATATATAGTATATAAAAGTGATATTTCATATATTTAAGCAGTCAAGCTAACCTTTATTCGATATACAACTTCCTCATAACTAGTAAAATTCCTATGTGTAATTAAATTAAATTAAGAAGCAGTGAAAAAATTCGAACGGAATTACCAGTATGTTTTAGTAGCTTAATGCTAGTGTTTCGCTTGATGAGTGCAGAAAATCGCAAACCCTTTTAAGTAGTATATAATATTATGATTTTTTACAAAGTGATAGTCTTCAGCTTCCATTATGATTCTTAATCGAGGGTAGATGAGGATGTCTATGGGTCACAGCATCCACTTACCATCAGGTGGACTGTGTGCTCGTTTGTCACCCAATCCTATAAAAATAATAGGGCCTCGATAAACCGAACGCCCAAAATTTACATCCTGTTCGGATTAATGAGGCGTTTGGATTACAGTATGTAGATATTATATCATCTTAAGGATTAAATTCATCCAGATCTTGGCCAGAAGTTTCCTCTAGTTTGAATAACGAGGGCCACAAAGGCTTTCAAGATTTTTTGACCAAATTTTAGGACACTTGTTGTCAACATTGAGCTAGAGCAAAAACGTGCTGTATTATATCTACATCTATATACTTATCATGGTGTTTTTTTTTAAGAATTTCAGATAATGTACATTCTGAATGAATAATGTGTTTTTTGTACGTCACTTTAATGTTCTGGATTACTTTATAATCCATTTGTTGAATTAAGGCTGTACAATTAAGCGGCATGTATAAAACTGTGAAATTTTCGTCAACCGACCGCAGAGCTACTGATATCAGAATATCAGCATGACGATATTCTGCGAGACAGTGGCTCGCACGAGCAGGGGGTCGTTCGGATTATAGAGGCGTTCGAATTATCGAGGCTCTGCTGAATTTACACAACATATAGATTGTGATATTCTTGGTCTCTCTCTCTTCCTGGCTATGTGTCCCACATGGTGGTGGGGTCAGCCTTTCTTGTCTTACGCCTCCACTTCGCTCTATCCTCGACTTCATTTTCGGAGACTTCGCACTCTCTCATGTCCTTCACCACTACATCTTTCCATCGTGTTTTGGGTCTGCCCCTGGATCTTCGACCTGGGATGGAAAGTTGTAGTGCCAAGTTCCCTACATAGTCGGGTGGCCTCCTCTTCACGTGCCCATACCATCGCAGCCTACTTTCCTGCATCTTGTCAGCGATGTCGCGCACGCCCAAGCTTCCTCGCACGTACTCGTTGCGGATTTTGTCGAGCTTGGTAACGCCGCACATCCACCTCAGCATCTTCATCTCGGCAACTTGCATGGTATGCACATTCTTTTGAGTTACGGCCCATGTTTCACTGCGATACAATAGGACTGATCTAAGGTATAATAATATAATATAATATCACTACTTTTAATAAAAAGTGAAAGCCGACTTCAAAAAACTAATAAAATAAATTATTTCACATTCTGATTGCGAAGTTTTAAATTTTCCATACACTCTTTCTTTTCTATTTAAATCTTCGAAGTAGGTTTTCTTTAAAAGTTAATAATTTTCGACGTAAGAAATCAAAATTTCGTTTCGCGAACGTAAGCATATTTTTACATACTTTGGTACTATGGTTGTAGCACGAATGGGTCGGCTCGACCGGAGTAGTACTACGCTCTCACAGAATACCAGCGTAAAATAGCAGCTTAATGCAGCTGTGTTTCGTATGGTGAGTGTGGAGAACCGGAGACCTTTTTATACTGGAAACGAGGCATTACATCCTAGTCCTCAGGGGTGATAACGCTCCCCCCCCGAACGGGTTCCCGCCTTGTCGTGGCAGGGGCTTAGAAGCCGTGGCTTGGTCACCCACGGCGAAACAAAGAGGAACCCATATGGCTGGTCCAAGGTGGAGGGCCGGCCCGAGGTGGCCACTCCGAGTGGGCTTGGGGAGCCCACTTCGGCTGTGTGTTGGTGGACTGCGGTGAGAGGTGTGTCCTCCCCACCTACCGCTGCAGCCGAGGTGGAGTCGCGGAGGAAGAGGAGTGTTGGTATGGCGATGCGCCAGACCGCGACTCAAACGGGGCCGCACCGTTGATGCGGTGGTGGTGGGGCTGCGGGGGGAGAGGATTGTCGGTGTTGCGAGGCGCCGCTCTCCCTACCCTCCGCAGGCGAACCTTGGTTGGCGGCGGAGCCATAGACCAGATCCGCCGCTGGGGTCGGGAAGGCTAGTACTTCTAAGTGCTTGTTTTTCCTGGCCCCATGGCCTTCTTGCATTGGACGCGGGGGCGTCCGTTGCGCAGATGTAATTAGAGGCCGAGAAGGAAGGCGCGCCATGTGTTCTGGTGCGCCTTACCTGTGAAGGAGAACGGGGTGGAATATTCCGCTCCCGAGGAGGTGCTGCCATGGGGCGGCAGGCGCTGGTGGGGCTGCGGATGTGTGCGAAAGCGTTCCCGTGGCCCTGCCAATAGCGACAAAGGTGGAACACCATGGGGTTTTAGTCGGTGCGAGTCCGACATAACCCGTCCTTGCCCCCGCGAGGCGGGTATGCGTAGGCGTTTCCCCATGTACAAAAAAAAACAAAAAAAAAAAAGGGTGATAACGCACCTGCGTTTTGATTCTTAATCGAGGATAGATGAAGATGTCTATGGGCCACAGCATCCACTTACCATCAGGTGGACTGTGTGCTAGTTTGTCACCCCTATCCTATAAAAACCCCATATTTTTATACAAACGTTACAACCCCCCCCCCTCCTAGGGGTTTCTCCTAGTACTATTAGGGATTTCCTCCTGTATCGCGACGGCAGTTTACAAACATAAATCTCACAAGGACAAACATTCAGACCCGGAACAACTACTTGTAGGTCATATGTTGCACTTTTTACTTTTTTATATTGTACTTTTTCAATGTTGAATACAAAAACATAAGTAAAATAGCATATACAAACAAAGGTTTGTAAATAATACTGTCATCTAAATTGATACAAAGAAAAATAGAATATACGTAATATTACACTGTGTTGCAAATAGTTTAAAAATCGGACTAAATTTATTATTTTGATATCTTAGGTAATTAAATAACTACTTGCTTGGTAAGTTCAATTCTAAGTGTCGAGATCAGTGTTAAGAGGATCGTGAAGCTGTAAATTTTCATACAAGAAGAGATAATGTATTCCCCTATGTAAATACAGTCTAATTTTAATAATTTTTGGAATTGTTGATATAATAAAAAACTAGGTCCTAACGTTTTTACTTTAAAGAAATTTTGCATGCTATATAAGTTATTAGCATACAAATATCTATTTTTAACTTGGAAACTTCCTCGAGCGTTTTTTTTATGAAACTAAATTGAATTACTAAAAAAGAAATACGTACAGACCTAGATTAAGGTACTCAATTGAATGAGATTGTGTTGAAAATTGTCTCATTTTATAAAGGTTAAGGGGAGTGAAAACGTTATCGCCCGAAACAATATTTCAAAATGGAAATGTAGGCAATTGCCTCCAAGACTTGCAACTTTCTCAATCATGCCCGGAGAGAGGTAGAATGAGCGTTATGAAACAGATAGCATTTTGAAAATATATACTCGCGACACGTATCGACACTTCACAATCTTCTCAAGTAGGAAGTAAGAGTTTAAATTTGTCTGTTTCTAATATTTTCTCGGGAAATATTATTAGTTATTACGTAAATTGGAAAGTAAGTTGTTTATTAATCGTAATCGTAGGTGGTATTAACACGGGTAGCATAAAACCGATCTTTAACCCTTTCGCTGCTCCACACGTATATATTCGCAAAAAAAACTTGTGTATCATACGCTCCTGACGAATATTTTCGCGCTTAGTTTTAAATTAGTTAGCTGCTCAATACGACTATTTTTACTATGTATTATTCATGTTTTAAAAAAAATAAACTGCTCTACACGAATAAACTCGCAATACTTAATTTCTTTAAACAGCTCAACACGAATTAATTCGCAGCGTTTAAATGGTCAAACTGCTCAACACGAATAAAGATGAAACTACTAAAATAAATGCGCACAGCAGGCACAAAATCTCAAAACGAATTGCGCAGCGAAAAGGTTAATATACTAATCTTTGAAAACGAGTAGATATTCTGACTTACCTCCGTGATGTACTCCTGTGGGGAGAGTGCGAAGTCCGGGAGGTCGGTAGAGAGAGCGTCGTTGTTGTGCCACACAGGCAACTGAGGAATTGTATCTGCCAAAGATAATATTTTTAATAAGACATTGATGGAGAGAATATAAACTGAGAAGAGAGAGAAGATAATATTTTTAACGAATATATGAGAGTGCATATTCATTTTAGTCCTCAGGGGTGATAACAATGGTCTTCTTGGTGGGAAGTTGGCTGCAGAAGTTCACAGACTGCAGATGTCACTTACGACTTCACGACCATCTGGACACCGAACTGTTGTTTAATTACCACTCATTAAAAATAATAATCAAATTTTTTATGCATAATAATCTAATTTACCACGGGGAGTGCTCTGAGGAATTGTTCGGACTAATTCCAGCCGCACAATTTCACCATCGCACATCGCTACAAAACTTGCGATACCATCCATACCATCTGGATGACTGGCGGTCCACCACTGTGCGATTTTAAACAAGTTTTCTTCCTCGCACAACTTCCTTGTGGAATCTACTACCACCAGAGATTTTTCCGGACCGATACGACTTAGGGACTTACAAGAAAAGAGCCCACTCCTTCCTAAAAGGCCGGCAACACATCTGCAATTCCCCTGGTGTAGCAGTTGTTCACTGGCGGCTGGGCGGCGGTAGTCACTTACCATCAGGTGAGCCGTATGCTCGTTAGCCCCCTCTACTATGAAGAAAAAATTATGTACCTACGAAACAGAAAATATTTTGTTCATATATTTATTAGCTCGTACACCTGAGACACACCTGGTTTATTCTCAGGTGCTAGTTATTGTAGACTAATTCAAATTAAGACATTGTTTAAATTAATTGTACAAAATATTGAAAATGTGAAAAGATGATGTTAGGAAGGAAGGAATAAAAAAGGAATGCTTCGGTGGTTTGGTCATGTAGAAAGAATGAACGAGATAAGAGTGACAAAGCAAATTTATATTGCAGATATGAACGGCAGAGTTGGGAAGAGACGCCCTAGACGGAAGGTTTGTCGACCAAATTGGCGATATTTTGAAAATGGGCCACATTAATTGTAACGCATCTGCATTTTGATTCGTAATCGAGGATAGATGTAGATGTCTATGGACCACAGCAACCACTTGTCATCAGGTGGACTGTGTGCTCGTTTGTCATCCTATTCCATAAAATAAAATAAAAAGATGCAGGAAGTCGATGGATGCAGGTGGCTCAGGACCGTGCCTTGTGGCAATACTTGTGGGAGGCCTATGTTCAGCAGTGGACTTGTGAAGGGCTGTAATGATGATGATGATGAGGTTGCCGTACGAATAGAACATGCATACTGTCAAATTTACATAGATCGCTTAGCCCCCGGGCTACCACCTCTACAGGGCCAAGGGCTCGCTTAAATTTACGTTGAGCTGAACGGGTTACTTGCAAGCCATTAAAACATGAATTACATATATAAACACTCACGTCTGTCACCCAGTGGAGTAGGCAGAGAATACGGACTTCTATTTGGTACGATCCTGACACACCTCTCTCGCCTCCTTCACATCCATATACCTACGCATACATGCTCGTCGGTTATGAGTACTCCTAATTTGACCCATTTTCAACATATCGCTAATTTGGTCGATAAACTTTCGCCTAGGACGTCCCTTTCCGACTCTTCCGTTCACTTCTGCAACATAAATTTGCTTTGTCACTCCTTCCTCATGACCAAACCACCGAAGCATTCCTTTCTTAATCCTGGTCACAAAATCACTTGCAAACCACACTCTTCTCTTATCACACAATTTCTCACCCTGTCACTCAGATTGAGCCCTAACATACTTCGTAACGACCGCATTCCTACTGCGTTTATTGTACTCCCGTGCTTTTTCTGCTACACCCAACTTTTACTACCATACGTTAAACTACGAAAGTTTTTAACACATTCTGACTTTCCACAATAGAGAGTAGAGCCCCATATACCCTATTTCCTGCGTTCACTTGTCGTTCTATACCCTTATCATATCTTTCAGCCCTGGTAAATTAAAAATAAATGCTATGCTTGGATCTATTTAGGTGCGTGTTTGAGCAAAATGCCGCGCTAGTCTTTATTTGCGAGGTTTTTAGGAGCTGTAATAGATGTTAAGGTTCACTTTCGGTTATAGGAATTTTTGCTCACAGAAAGATGTGTTTACTACGTAACGATTTATTTGCAACTGTTTGAACAAATTATGCCTTTAAATATTGAACCTATTCACACATGCATACGTATTCACACTTACGCTCGCTCTTACATTCGTATAATTATTCTATCCGAACAGGAGTCAGGCACCAGTGAGGTTTTTAGGCGCTATCTACTTGTTATTAAAAACATATATCAACTAGTAAAAAAGCTATTAAATTTCTACATAATCTTGATTCTAAAATAGCCAATACCAATTTTTTAAAGGTGTATATACTTACTGAATCTCCCTATTACTAAACCACAGAAAGGTGAAGTAATTATGTATAACATGCATACCCTCATAAAGTAAGCATTATTTTATTTTGTGATTGACACTAATGGATAGGCAATTTATTAACGAACATTTTGATCTATATAATTTTTTCATAGGACTAAAATTTGATTTCATAAAGATTTTTTTTTTAAATTTGGGTGTATTTCTTACGCGATATATTGTGGCGAGAGCGCGTGGAATGTATGGGATCGAACGCTCAAGGTCGTTCGCTAGGAGTAGCGCCTTAATGTAGCTTTATTCTTTAGGATGATCTCATTCAAAGACCAATTATTTGCTCAATTTCGGGATTTCTAGAAAAAAAATTAAATATTTTCCGAAAAAACATAGCCGAACATAGTTTTATTCGTGGTAGAGCCACGCTGCAGCTATATTATGGTTGCAGCACGAATGGGTCGGCTCGACCGGGAAAGGACCACGCTCTCACAGAATACCAGCGTAGAATAGCAGCTTAATGCTGCTGTGTTTCGTATGGTGAGTGTAGAGAACCGAAGACCCTTTTTACTGGAAACGAGACATTCCATCTCAGTTCCCAGGGCTGGCAACGCATCTGGATTTTGATTCTTAATCGAGGATAGATTAACTGTCTATGTGCCACAGCATCCACTTACCACCAGGTGGACTGTGTGCTCGTTTGTCACTTATTCTACAAGGTGGCCCATAAGTCGTTAGAAATGTAAATTTCGAATAAAATACTAAAGGCGCGCATGAGTGGCGCGCGGTGCGGGGGGAGTACCGACGGTTTCTGGGAATTCAGTCGCCATGGAGCGTTTCACCGGTGCGGACCGTGCATTTTGTGTGCGCGAGTTTTATTGCGTGGCGTAAATTTGGAGAATATCAGAATTTACGCAACTTTAAAGACATTCCAAGTGTTCAAACGATTAAGAACTGGGTTATTAAGTTCGAAGAGAGTGGTTCGACGTTGGATAAACAACGGTCAGGTCGACCAAGGACATCACGGACGGAAGAAAACATCGATGTAGTGAAACACTCAATTCGTGAAAATCCTACCCAGTCTACTCGTAAGCGTTCCAGTGCATTAAACTTACCCAGGACATCGTTACAGCGAATTTTAAAGAAAGATTTACATCTTCACCCGTACAAGATTCAGATAGTACAGGAATTAAAAGATACTGACACTATCCACAGACTAAATTTCGCAAATGAAATGTTGAACCGCTTTACTTCGTTTAATAATGTGTTATTCTCTGATGAGGCTCACTTACACATCAACAGCCATGTCAATAAGCAAAATTGTCGCTACTGGAGTTGCGAAAATCCAAATCGCAAACATCAAAAAGCCCTTACATAGCCCTAAAGTGACAGTTTAGGCGGCTATGTCAGCGCATGGCATTATAGGCCCTTACTTTTTTGAAGACGGCAGAGACCGCGCGCTTACTGTTACTTCACAACGGTATGTAGCTATGATCCAGGACTTATTTACACCAGAGTTGCAGAATTTTCCAGGCTTCAATACGCGGACCTGGTTTCAACAAGATGGAGCAACTGCCCATACCTCTAACGTCGCTATGCCGGTCGTCCGTCAACTTTTCCCTAATAAAGTGATCTCTCGAAGAGGAGATATTCCTTGGCCACCACGTAGTCCAGATCTGACCCCAATGGACCTTTTCTTATGGGGTTATCTTAAGACTAAAGTGTACGAAACCAACCCGCGGACAATTGACGTCCTGAAAGAAAATATCCAAAGAGAAATGGCAAACATTACAGAGCTTACTTGCCGCGCAGTGATGGATAATTTTAAACGTCGCTTACAGGAGTGCCGCGATCGTAACGGATTACATTTAGATGATGTAATTTTCAAAAAAATAATTCCCATTTTATAAGGATTATGACAAAATAAAAACCTTTTTTCATAATGTCATTAGCTTTTTTAAATTATTTTTTTACATTTCAAGGGACTTATGGGCCACCCGGTATAAAACAGCCTAGATCACATGTGGCATTGCTTTCTAGTTCGTGACGTTCCATTACAATTGCTTCAGCCATTCCGACACACAGACAAACATTTAAAATTGGTTATTCATACCTTTATAGCATATAAGTAACCCTTTTAACTCAATCAGGGCATCCACGAGTCACCAGAGTGACGCCACTTAAAAACGAGGTGTAATATTTGACAGATTTCCAAGCGGGCAAGTTCATTTGGACGAAAAATGTAAAGGTTAATGTTTATTTCTATACTATTAGTTATATTTTGTTATAATTAGATTAAAAATTAATAAACCAAACCATAGATTTTCGTAAAAGAAAAAAAAATTAAAAAAGAGATTAAATGTGCAAAAAATTAAAAGGCAAACCAACGAGTTAGTGTTTTGTGTGTTACTTTAATACTCTAGAAACTGATAAACTTTTATTTAAAACTAACTTCTCAATTAAATGACATTGCGTAACAAAAAAAACTTTATCTCATTGTCAAGTAGCGACATCTGGTGAGTGAAATAATATTAGCACCATAGAATACTATAATACACAATAGAATGGCTGTCAACCTTACTTTGTAGGAGGATTGGCGTCGCCGGGAGCAAACATACAAGCAATTACGTCGTATTATCGGTTATCACTACTACAAACACATTTTAGACTTTTGATTAATGTTTTTGACACATAAATGTTTCTTTATTTTTGTTTCTAATATTCACAAAATATAAATAGTTTCGACTTACTGGATGTAGAATATGTCTCCTTTATTTAAATTCCATTTCCCGCTTTTAAATAATTTTCATGCAGCGACGCTTGACACGAAATTGGAAACGATTGATTGTTGTCATCAGTTGACAGTTGTCATGTATACTTGTGAATTGACGTGTTAGTGACACGTTAGTGGTTACACGGGCTCCGGCCACTCCCCCGTTCTATTAAGTATGTATTATAGTATTGTGTAATGGAGAAGATAACCATTTTTTGTTTTATATGCCAAAAAATTTTACAAAAAATTACGAGAATAACTGTGTTTTTAATTTTTTTCTATCTCCAAAACTGACCGAGATATAAAGGCGCAAAGTTAATATTTTCGGCCTAAGCCGCGGGCCGAGTGCGACAACGTTGATGACGTCACGATTTCTATCTTCGTGCGAGCGACCCGACGCGCCCTTAGAAAATCAAAACATCTATTCAAATGTGCCCGTCGCGCGCGGCTCTACTTGCTATATATTTTTAACAAGAAACGTTATAGAACATGACACCATCTATTAAATATTGTGCTGTGTCTCAATGTATAAATACGGCCACAAAAACACCAGAAAAGTTGTTTTTTAATGTTCCTAGAAACCATACCCTCAGAAATAAATGGAGAAATGCTATGAGAAGAGCACATCCTTCAGGACCAAACACGGTAGCATATTGTTGTGAGGATCATTTGGATGTAAGTATTCAAATAATAATAACCTTCACTTCATAGCTTTTGGTTAGTGCTAGTAAATGATTTCTATTATGCATGTAGGTACCTCGCAGTGTTTAACTGTTTAACTTTAACTAACGATTCATTGAACCTTTCCACGCTTAATGATCATTATAATTTCAAAAAGAAACAATACCTAATACCTACATATTTAACTAAAACTACTTCAGTGTAAATAAACATCCAAACTTAGGTAAAGTACTTACCTATGTAATGTAGATAATAAGTCAATGACCTGTCGTGAGTTCGTAAGTTTAGATAGGTACCTACCTATGTTTGCAGCAAATTTTAAAATGTTTATAGTGCATATAAAGGTTAAAATAATGTTAACAAACATTTTTATATTTTTACGATATTTCGAGCAAAAACTAAACACATCGCAGAGCTGTTCAACCTGCATACTTTGCGGGCCGCAAATAATGGAAGAAGTTTCATTATGAAGCGGAGCACTTAATTTTTTTTTCGTGTTGTCTTATTTTTATGTATTACATAGTTCTTACATATTTTAAATATTGATGGAATACAAATTACGAGGTTCCTTATTTTTTTTTATAGATTTTAAATAAGTTTGTATTTTGTCGAAAACGATATGGAAAACTACGTGAAGTACAAACTAGTTGGTGGTCCCCTCAAACTTAAAAAAGATGTTTTGCCTCACAAGTTGGCTTGTCGAAATGGCTATACAGAAAAACCACAAAGATGTTTACTATCAAAACTAAATGCCAAATCTAGGTCAGAAACAGTTGCACATGCGATTGCCACTACTTCTTAGGAAATTGAGCATAGATATGTTGTCGATCCTGTTACTACTCTAGATGATAATATTGACATTGATCCCTTGCCTGAAGAATATATAACTACGCTTTTAATCATAATAATAATGCGACCCTTTTTCTATTAATATTGAAAACATCTGATTTTTAGATAAAATCATATTTTTATATATCGAAGGTATATTTGTATTTTGTAGTAAATTTCTTTATAAACAACAGGGAATTTTTTAACCATAAAAACCACAAAAAGGTCAGGGTGCACTTAAGAAAAATAAGAAAACAAAACTAGTTAGAGGCAGATAGTAAGTAGGTAGGTAAAGTATGTTTACGTATTTTTGTTATACCTATTCTTATCATTAGCAAATGAAACCCAGAAGTATTAATATAATAATGGGTACCTAGGTTATAAAAATATTATCTTATTCTTATGCGTATTTCAGCCGCGACAAAATATTTGTTTCTAGAAAATATTCCGCCACCATCATGTCACGGAACATTGGAAGGTTGTCAGATGGACCCTTTTGAAACCCTTCTTCCATCATTAAATGCTTAAAAACACCAGAGCGAACGAGGGCAAACAACTCACTCGCGAAATATTACTACAAACGTATGATCGGCGCGCTGGAACGGTATGGCGGCGCGGCCGCATGGAAATGATGACGTCACGCGCTACTCGCGGGCACGGGCGAGACTTTAAAAATGTACGTAAACTTTCCACGCTTATAACTTCGGTAATAGTGCACCGATCGATGTGAAATAAGAACTAGAATTATGTGTTTGGTCTAGACTTTTTACCTACGTACTTGAAGATCTAATATTGTAACCTTGTTATCTTCTCCATTAGCACTCAGGTAGTTTGTTTCGGTATAGGAGGCAGATACTTCAATGTTATTAATATGTATTGATATGAGTCGGGCTAAGTTTAAAACAAGTAACTAAAACTGTCCATACCCAATTGCACATCTACAGGGTTCCGTAATATAGCCCTGGCGAGTCCCCTCAGCTGTTCCCTGGTCCTCTGGAGTCCTGCGACTGAGGCCAGCTCTCGCGACTCCGCCATTTTTCGTGATTCGCCCTCCAAGAGGTGGCTTTGTAGGTCCAACAACGGGTGTTCCGGTTTATGACCTGAAAATAAGAATCCAGCCGGGAAATTTACAACGCGGTGGAGCCAGACTGCAACTATTATGGTTGTAGCATGAATGGGTCGGCTCGACCGGGGAAGGACCACGCTCTTCACAGAATACCAGCGTAAAATAGCAGTTTAATGCTGCTGTTTCGTATGGTGAGTGTAGAGAACCAGAGACCCGTTTTACTATAATCGAGGAAATCCATCTTAGTCCTCAAGGGTGACAACGCATCTGCATTTTAATTCGTAATCGAGGATAGATGTAGATGTCTCTGGGCCACAGCAACCACTTACTATCAGGTGGACTGTGTGCTCGTTTGTCACCATTATACTATTTAAAAAAATTGAGACATCTCAGGGCTATCACAACCCCAAACGGAAAAGTTTCTTCACACCCCCATTCCAAAACCCATCCCCCCAGACAGATAGCCCCTCTGATTTTACAACAAACGGTACAGTTATGATGCCAGGGTCCGGATCAAAGGCGTCATCACAAATGAGTTGTACACAAAGACTTCTATGGATACTACCAGACCTGAATACTGTCTTAAAGCTGAGGAGCTGACACGGTAAATATGCCACGCAGATGTATTTCCATTTATAACAGTTACTGTTTTAGGCAGATAGTTACATAATTATCTGAAACAAACTTCAAATCACGTTGGCAAATTTTTTTTTTTTTTGCGCCCGAAGCAATTAAAGGGCTACCCTATACGTAGGGAGGCGGAAAATGCATTACGCATACCACGGTCCTACCGGGGACCCTAAGTGATACCCTCTAAAAACCGCCTTTGGGGACAGGCAACCGGCTAATTAAGCTCTATTGTGCCTTATCATGAGCGACCCTCTTTTGGGAAAAGAGGGCGCAGGCGGCTAAGTGCCGCTGAGGGAGTGCCTACGAAGGTAAATTAATGTTAGATATTACAATAATTTTTTTTTAATTAGAGTTGGCCTGAGCCGCCAGGAGACAGTTCAGGTCGTTTGAAAGTTTATTAGGCGGGTCCGAGAGAGAGTTTCTCGGCCTGCGGACACGATAGCGAGAGGGGGGGTGGGGCTGCATAAGAAGCTGCCTCACGAATTAAGTGGTTTGGGTGCGACTCTAAGGCTTTGAAGAAGTTCTCAGAGAGTTTTTTAAGAAATTGTTGAATTTTTGGGAGCTCTAAGTCCCGATGAAGGTCGGCATTGCGGACGTACCACGGTGCGTTCGCAGCTCGACAACAGAAGAGGTTCTGAACTATTTGGATCATTTAAAATGTTAGGGTTTGCGTGGGCAAAGACGGGGCCCGCGTAGGACGGTACGACGACGGACGACGTTGGCAAAGTGCGCACATTTATTTTATACGAGAGGAAGCAAACTAGCATTAGATTCACCTGATGTTAAGTGACTACTATAACATCATGAGAATTGCAGATGCGTTGCCGGCCATTTAGAAAAGAGTAAGCTCTTTTATTGAAGGTCCCCAGGTCGTATCGGTCCGGAAAAATCGCCGGTGTTAAACTATTCCACAGAGAGGTCGTACGCGGAAGAAAACTCCTAGTGAAACGTACAGTGGTGGACCGCCAAGCATCCAGATGGTGTGGATGGTATCGGGACGTTTGCCGCGTAGTGCGTTCATGAAATTCGGCGGCTGGGATTAATCCGAACAATTCCTCAGAGCATTCCCCGGGTTAGATGCGAAAGAAAATGCAAAGAGATGCAACATCTCTTCGCAGCGCCGATCGAGCCGATCGGAAAGCACTCGGTCGTGGACGATTCGAGCCGCTCTGTGCTGGATGCGGTCAACTGGAAGGAGCTGGCACTGAGGAGCCTCAGCCCAGAGATGGGAACAGTATTCCATGTGAGGCCGAACCTAAATAATGATAGAGTTTTCTCAGTCACATTAAATAAAACAAGTGTTAGATTGTCGAAAATAACGTTCGCGGTTTACAAAACAACGAACTAATCTTCTCGCCCGCTCGTAGTAGACTAAATGAGTTTCGAAGAATTAATCGTAACTTAGTGACACAGAGTCCGAGAGAGTACATAGAAGTCATAGATAGAAATCTTTGTGATCGTATCGTATCGCATCAGAAACAGAAACTTTTTTATTCAATATAGATTATAAACAATACTTATTGAAAGTAAGTTTTTTTCATTTACCACTGGTTCGCAAAAAAACCCTCTGTCCTGGGAAGAACCAGCAAGAAACCTAGCGGGACTATTTTTTTTTTTCAAATAACAGCTTACAATCATGTTTACAATTAACAACACAAGACAAATTAGAATTAGCTTGGTAGCGTTCACCCTTCCCAGGGGTTATTATCATCCATAATTTCCTTATTATAATAACCCTTTTTATACAAACTTAGTTTAATAAAGTTTTTGAATTTTGTTTATGACAAATTTTGTATATTTTCTGGGATTTTGTTGTAAAAGCGTACACATCGCCCCAAGAATGAATTACTGACTCGGTGACATCGTATCGCATTATCGCTTTTATCTCTCATCTACCAAAACGCCTTATAAACCTTATTTTTCTTTCATTTTCATTCACTTCTATATTTATAGCCAAAAGGTCCCAGTTAAAGTTAAGTTTAGACGGCAAAACAAGAAAAAATAATCAATAATGACCTCCAGGCTGAATTCCGGTCACAGCAGCCGGTCTCAATGTTGATTAGCCATCTGCGCAGGACAGGATTAGCGCCTATCCTCAGTTCTCGGTCCGATCTCGGTCTGATTTATTAAAGTTAAAGTTACAGCCTATATACGTTCCACTGCTGGGCACAGGCCTCCCGCTCATTTCTGAGGGTTTTAGGGCGAGGAAGTGTCCGCCGCCCCTATGCGTGTTGGCGAACTTCACATGTCTTCAAAATATTTTTTTCCTTATTCCTCATACATGCAGGTTTCCTCACGATTTTTTCCTTCACCGCCGAGCACGTGGTAAATCAGCACTTAAAATTGCAATTAACAATTTCATTAGTGCCGGCGGGGATCGAACCCGGGTTACTCGCGTTCTTTTATATTTACAGCGAGCGTTAACCATCTGAGCTACCACGACTCTGATTCTGATTTATTATATTACTGGAATGGGAGTCGAGCGAAAGCTAACTGTTACGGATAGTATGAATGCACATATTTTTCACTCGATATTTTATCAGACCGAGATCGGATCGAGAACGAAATGTGAACAGCATTATAATGAGGATCGGCCCTTATAGTGTCCAAGTGTATGCGCAAGCACAGGTTTTTTTTATAGGATAGGGTGACAAACGAGCACACAGTCCACCTGATGGTAAGTGGTTGCTGCGGCCCATAGACATCTACATCTATCCTCGATTACGAATCAAAATGCAGATGCGTTGTCATCCGTGAGGACCAAGATGGAATGCCTCGTTTCCAGTAAAACGGATCTCCGGTTCTCTACACTCACCATACGAAACACAGCAGTTATAAGCTACTATTTGACGCTGGTATTCTGTGAGAGCGTGGTCCTTCCCCGGTCGAGCCGACCCATTCGTGCTGCAACTGTACTACTAATATAACTGCAGCATGGCTCTACCACAGTTAGAGGTGCACTCTATTCCCTCACTCTCATCGTCCTTCAATTCTCAACTCAACTCATATTCTGTTCCTACATATGTGTTAAGGATAATGTCAGTGTGATTAATAAGCTTCAGACTAGCCAGTTAAACTTTGAATTTAAACTTTAAACTTTGGTTTAGTATTGAATTTCTGCCTCATGTTATTTTTTTACCGTTTTCAAAAAGGAGGAGGTATTCAATTCTACTGTATGTTCTTTTTTCTAAACTTTTTTTTTTGATGAATCGATATTATTCTCTTTTTATTTGAAAGCTGGTGCTTCTCGTGTGGTCCCATATGGATTTGATCAACATCTGACCAGTAGTTCTTGAGTTATCCTTAAATAAATACATAACATAATACATAAACACTCACGCCTGTCACCCAGAGGGGTAGGCAGAGACTACAGACTTCCACTTGGCACGATCCTGACACACCTCTCTCGCCTCCTTCACATCCATATACCTACGCATACATGCTCGTTGGTTAAGGGAGTGCTAATTTGGCCCGTTTTCAATATATCGCCAATTTGGTCGATAAAATTTCGCCTAGGACATCCATTTCCGACTCTGCCGTTCACTTCTGCAAAATAAATTTTCTTTGTCACTCTTTCCTCATTCATTCTTTCCACACGACCAAACCACTGAAACATTCCTTCTTCCTCACATGCATCATTCCTTCAAACCACTTTTCTTTTATCACACAATTTCTCACCCTGTCATTCAGATTCAGCCCTGACATACTCCTCAGCGACCGCATTTCTGCTGCATTTATTCTACTCTCGTGCTTATTCTGCCACACCCAACTTCCACTACCATTATCCTTAAATAAGGCTTATTTGACTTCGAATAAATTGATTCGATCGTATTGGAGTTGATTGTACAAAATTTGTAATTTTACCATTTGTTTACCGCCTCATTGGTCTGGCGATTGTCGATCAGGAGTTCATGGGTTCGAAAAAAAAAAACGTGAAGCAGACGCTCAAAACTAAACCTAAGTTTGACCGGCTAGTCGAAGCTTAATTCACACTAACATTATCCGTAACATGTATTTAGGAACGGAATATGAGTTTAGTTGAGTTAAGAATAGAAGAAGTATGAGAGTGAGGGAATAGAATCCTGTCATGCGCCGATGGCTAGTCTCCGTTTAGACATGTCACGGTGTGGACATTATAATGCTTCAGAAGCACTTCATATAACTTCGGACACTTTTGCCACACTCCACTCACCTTCTTCTTCCTTCTCTATCTGTTGCCGTGAAGCTAACACCCTCAGTAACTCGGCCGCGGCCGATTCCAAAGCCAAAGCCGCGGGAAAGCTCTCGCTCAGTACCCCTGTACTTTTTCTCGCTGTGACCGCCGCCAGAAAGTTTGTTTCTATGCGGCGACTGTGTGCCGAGATCAGTGAAAGGATCGCTGACGTCAGTTCCTGGATAAATATATCGAGTTAATTTTTCCACGGTAACCAATTACAATATTTTTTTTTAATAACACAGTAGGAAGACTCTATCCTAACCAGCACCAATGAAATTGTTAATTGTAACTTTATATTATAAAGTTCCAATTAACAATTATATTTCGTTTGCAACAAAATAAATTATTTATATTAAAATAAAAATTACCTATTCATATTAAATAGAAAATGGCTTTAAAATAAGCAACACATAATTAGAAATATATAATTACATTTTATAATCGAAGTGACGTCTTATTTCTAGCAAAGAACACATTAAATAATTACTTACATCACTGCGAAAATTTCCCCATTTACTTTCTGTTCTGATGCTACTTTGTAAAAAATGCCTACACACACAAGTAAGACCAACCCGCCATCTTTATATAAAAATACTATACCTCGACAGCTGGTGAGTAGAAAGGCATAGCAGCATTGCCCGCTATTTGCCGTGCCCTGCTATAAGCGGCACTGAGCCATCCTTCACAGCGCTCCGCAACTGATAGCAGGGCCTTCGAATGTTCTAGAAGATCCTCCTGGAAAGATTCAAAATAGAATAGAATAATCTCCGGGAAATTGTTCGGAATCCAGCCGCACAATTTCACCATCGTACATCGCGACAAATCTTGCGATACCATCCATACAATCTGGATTACTGGCGGTCCACCACTACGATTTAAAAGAAGTTTTTTTCCACGCACAACTTCCTTGTGGAATCTACTACCACCAGAGATTTTTAAGGACCGATACGACTTAGGGACCTTCAAGAAAAGAGCCCACTCCTTTAAAAGGCCGGCAACGCATCTGCAATTCCCCTGGTGTTGCAGTTGTTCATGGGCGACAGTAAACACTTACCATCTGGTGAGCCGCATGCTCGTTTGCCCTATAAAACTTAAACATGGAAGAATTGCTTATTTAAGGTGGCTGCAAGTCGGGGCTCGAACTCATTGGTGGGCGCGGCCAAAAAGCACGTTGTCTCACCTGGCATCGTGCCCGACAGAGATAGTACCAGTGAAGAGCAGTTAGAACGCACGTCTTGTTCGTACGGCGTTCCGAACCGTTAAGCGCTTATTACACTATACAATTTTCAGGAAATCTAATTAGGATCCTAAATTGGAAGCTAGTGATCACACTACACTAAATTGAATTCTAAATCGTGACGAACCGCATTCGTAAAGAAGTATCGACGAGATTGCACGTTTGATCGATGGCGCCGTATTTACCAAAACAGCAGAAAATAGGACTTGCCTTAGCCATGGTGGGAACAATGGATATTAAAAAAAAGAGAAAAGAGAACTTGTCATTGAGAAAAAAACTGTCCAATATGAATATAATTATATATTTTTAGATTCTAAGCAGTTTTTTTTATAGGATAGGGTGACAAACTAGCACACAGTCTACCTGATGGTAAGTGGATGCTGTGGCCCAAAGACATTTACATCTATCTCCGATTACAAATCAAAATGCAGATGCGTTGTCACCCGTGAGGACTAAGATGGAATGCCTCGTTTCCAGTAAAAAGGGTCTCCGGTTCTCTACACTCACCATACGAAACACAGCAACATTAAGCTACTATTTTACGCTGGTATTCTGTGAGAGCGTGGTCCTTCTCCGGTCGAGCCGACCCATTCGTGCTACAACTATACTACTAATATAACTGCAGCATGGCTCTACCACCTATAAACAATTTGAATATTTGTTAAGTTTGGTATCCAAACATATTGATAAAGAAGTCACGATATTTCGGTAAAGTGTGAGTACCAAAGAATGTTTGATGGTGACATTACGTTTTATAGCCACCGGAAATTAATATTAAGATTTAAAGTACTGCTCTCTGATATCAGACTTCTATCAAAACTTCAAGACATCCGCTTGTATCAAAGCGCGGGCGCCGACTGGTTGTTCTAAATCGTAACGTTGCGATTAGAGCGATTGGGACCTCCAATTTGACTAAATCGGATCCTAACTGTTCTAACTACGATTACACCTTCCTATTTCCTAGTTAGATTTCCTAAAAATTGTATAATGTAATAAGCGCTTTAGAACAAAAACGAAGTTACACGAACACGATGCACACATACATACCACCCTATTCTGTGCCGCTCGACGCTTGCTAAGAAATCAGCAGTACCTACCTACAAACTCGTACAAAATTATTAGGCACTGCGCTACGTTATCGCTTTATACTATACCTCTATGGCTCTATAGATACCTAATATAGATTGCTTATTTTATTATGTTTTGTTTTCCCCGGGTGGTCATGCAGCGATCACTCAAGAGTTCACGACGCCGAAGCATGAACTGGAACAGTCATCGCAATTTATATCCGTACTAGCTGTTGCCAGCGGCTTCAAACGCGTGAACTCGAAAATTATCCCACAGGAACGAAATACCTGAATAAACGGTATCAAAAAATGTGTTATTCCAGACCAGGTATAACCTATCTCTGAGCTAAATATCATCCAGATCCCTTCAGCTGTTCTGGCGTGATTGAGTAACATACATCTATCCATCCAAACTTTCGCATTTATAATATTTAGATAATAATTGTAATTAGTTCTGCTTCCTTTTTTTTTTTTTTTTTTTTATAGAAGAGGGGGCAAACGAGCATGTGGCTCACCTGATGTTAAGTGACTACCGCCGCCCATGATCAACCGCAACACCACCTGCCTACCTATAAATTGTTTTCAAAAATACTTACCTGTCTTCTTACTTTTTTTATATACACACAATATCACTAGATGTAAACACATGTTTTTATCAAGACAAGTGACCCGACAAGACTGTTTCCTTAGTACCGACGTACTTAGGCAGGTAGTAGTAGGTAGGCAAAAACGATTACTACTGAAAAACTAAATAGGTACCTACCTAACATTCAAATACAAATATTCTCAAAAAGCTCAACCAATTCAGAATTTAATTTTGTTAAAAGAAAATTGGTCAAATAAAAAATAAAGGATGAAAATAAAGCATATGGGAATATAAAAAAAATCGTATTTATTTGAATAAAACTATTATTTACGGATTTTATCGCGTTTAATTACTTTAATTTATTTTTATTATTATCCCGACGTTTCGGGTGCTTTACAGCGCCCATGGTCCCCCACGTGAATAATAGTTTTATTCAATGTGTAGTGTTCGCGTAAATTTAAGAAATCGTATTTATTTGTAATTTCGAGTTTTACAAGAAAAGCATAATATTTACTGGAGAGAATTATTTTATTATTATAATAGTACATGATATTCCCTTTAAAATGACACCAATATGAATAATATCTTATATCTATACCTACAAATAAATAAAATTTAAGTGTCTGTTTGTAATGATAAAATAACAGCTTTTTATTAAATGCATATGAAAGTACTAGTAACAAAAACACATTTTTTAAAATTTCAAACACCACAATCTCTAATTTTTTACTCTGCTATCTTCAGCGCTGTACACGAACGGAACGATGTCGTTGAGAGCCGTGGTAGCTCACATGGTTAGCGCTCGTTATAGGTATCATAGCACGGGAGCAACCCGGGTTCGATCCCCACTGGCACCAATGAAATTGTTGCGTGCTGATTTAGCTATCAGTTGGAAAGTCTGTTTTTCTGGGCCGTTTTGTTTTGTTACACTGACATCTCGCAAGTCACCTAGGGACCTAGGAGGTTGTCGGTTGCTTATTTTTTATTTTTCTTTAAAATTTTCGTCTTTAAAATAACATATTTATGAAAGTAAAAAAAAGTAAAGTTACAGCCTTTATACGTCCCACTGCTGGGCACAGGCCTCCTCTAATTTCTGAGAGGGTTTTAAGGCAAGGAAATGTCCGCCACGCTGCCTCAATGCGTGTTGACGAACTTCACATTTCTTCGAAATACATATTTTTTAATTTCTCAGACATGCAGACCCGAGTTCGATCCCCGCCGGTATCAATGAAATTTTTAATTGCAATTGTGCTGATTTACCACGTGCTCGGCGGTGAAGGAAAACATATTGAGGAAACCTGCACGTCTGAGAATATAATTATAATCGATGGTAAATCAAATTGACATAGGTAAGTACAGATAAAATTAGCGGAACATTAATAAAATTTTGAGATCGTTTTTTTTTTCAAAATTTTATTTATATATTCCTCTATTTTTGTCTGTGCTTATATCAATTTGATTTAATCCAAAGTTCAAGCAGGGGTCAATGTAGCGTAGTAATTTAGAGCGCAGGTGTAGCTATAATCATACGAACGTCACAGGCCGCAGCTGACAATGACGTCGAATAAAACTACGAGTAGAATAAGCGCGCGTCACCGCGCATGCATGTGTGTGTAAGTGTCGTCCTCCCGCACCGCACCGGGGGAAACATTATTCAGTGAGATGCACGATAATTCACATAAACACGCGCGCGTAAAAAAATACGAAAAGGCCTTTGGAAGGAGGGGTTTTACGAAAAAACCACTGCATGAATCAATTACCAATAAAATTTATTGAATTCTTCGATAATTGAGCTGTGTCGGTACCGACTTTGTTTTGGAAATTTTACACTGCTTTTATTACTAATTTACGCCCAAAGTTGTGTTAAAATTGGCAATAAAAACGAATCTTTGGTAGCTCGTAACTTTTTACTGACTTTTTATTTTACTATTCTGTTTGGGTACAGACAAAATTAATAATGAGACAAAACGATATCATGTTTAACTTTGGATGTACACTGTCAAACAGCGGAGTAAAACCCCTCCGAAATTTCTATGGAAATAATGTCGACTAGAGTCACCTTAAGATCTGCTAGTAGTGAACTAGTGGTCGAAATTTGACCGAAGTTCATTAAATTTTCAGGTTTGTATATTATGCAAGCTATATTTCACTTTCAACGGCCACATTTTTAGTATAATTCTTCTGTCGGTGTTTATGTGACTGAGCGGATGAAACGGATGAACCTGATGTAGATGGTGCTGCTGTCGCGATATGGAAATCGCTCGTGCGAAGCCAGGGAGGATCGCTATGCAGCATGGATGGGATCTTTAATGCTGCTGTGCTTCGTGTGGTGAGTGTAGAGAACCGGAGACACTTTTTACTGGATAAGAGGTTCCATCTTAGTCCTCAGGGGTGACAAAGCATCTGCTGTTTTATTCTTGAGGATAGACGTAAATGTCTATAGGCCTATGCATCCACTTACCATCAGATGTAATGTGTGCTGTGCGTAACTGAATTTGTCAAAATAATAAACAGTAGTGTGTAGTGTAGGTAACACGATGTATAAAAAAGCATGACTATCCTTATTTTAATTTCAGTTAAGTAAATTTTTCATTAGTGGGGAATCGAACCAGGTATTTGATTTATTTAATCTGTGAATTAAAGTGGGTACAGACTAGCATAGTGGCAAAACAGTAAGTGGATAAGTTAGGCATTTAGACAAGTGTTGTAAATTATAAGGTACTGCTACGATGTGGGCTGCGTGTCAGCGTTCGACGTCGCGCGTTTATTGACCCTTTATCAGCTGATTTCAGGTATTGAAGTTACATTGCTGGTTTTATGTTTAGGTATTTTCATGATTTTTTTAATGAAATTATCGTTTCATTTAGCTGTACTAACACGATAGAGCGTGAATAAAGCTAATTAAACATTGTAAAAAAATGATTAGTTTGCATCGGGATCGATTTTATTTGAGTCTCATAATCAATTGTATCCTTTATACTATCGTCTGTCTTTGTTTTCGGGAGCGTTACAAAAATACCCTATATATATATAATATCATACAAAATATATAATAAACATTTTTTGTCTTGAGATACACTTAACACAATATTGAAAAAGTTACTTTTGGGGAAGGGACTTGTGAATGATAAATTACACGAATGATGATTACCTGCCTGAGCTGCTGCTCATTTAAGTTGGCGAGGAATAGCTGAGTTTGGATCTCCGTATACTTCGGCATCAGTTCTCTAAGTGGCGCGTAGACTGTTCGACCCAGCTCCCTCATTAAGGCAGGGGAAAGAGTTTCTGGTAAGAAATAAAAATAGATTATTCGGTACTTACTCATCGAACTTTATTGGCCTTTCTAAATCCACTTCTGGATATAGGTTCCAAGCTACAGATGGAATGCATCACGGTAGGCTGGTGAGTAATTTTTTAACGTTGATATATTTTTATAAAAGTGAATGCCTACTACTTTTCCCGTCTGATATTTACTTTACTTTTTTTTATAGTATAAGGGTGACAAACGAGTACACAGCCCACCTGATGGTAAGTGGATGCCGTGGCCCATAGACGTCTACATTATCTTCAATTAAAAATCAAAATTCAGAATGCGTTGTCAACCCTGAGGACTGAAATGGAATGCCTCGTTTCCAGTAAGTAGGGTCTCCAGTTCTTAACACTCACCATACGAAACACAGCAGTATTAAGCTGCTGTTTTACGTTGGTATTCTGTGAGAGCGTGGTTCTTCCCCGGTCGAGCCGACCCATTCGTGCTACAACCATAATATAGCTGCAGCGTGGCTTTACCACGTATTTACTTTACTAACCCGAAATTCATGACTTTTTGGTTACTGGTTGCGCGGAAAAACCATTCGTATTTATTTTATATTTGACGGTAGGTTGCCAAGTCGGTTATCCCTTTCCATAACGATATCATTCATACCCTCCTATCGACACATCGGGGTGGTGGGGTGGGAGGGGAAAGAAGGTGATTCTAGAATGTCACGTCATCATCGGAACCGAAGATATATAAGGCACGCGCGACCGACGCGCAGGCCTCTTCCCGCCGCGCTCGTCATTGGAACCACACCACTAGTAGAACCGGTTTAGCCTGGAAGCAGTCGAGCTCCAGGAAACCCGCCTCACCTTGTGTGAGATATAGTCGCGCACCGCCTCTCTCCGGAGTGTTCCAGAAGAAGTTCCAGAAGTCGCAGCTATAGTGCTCGACCGAATAGAAGAAACCCCGGTGAGTCAATATTCCTAATAATACTGCCTGCTTGATATAATTGTTTTAACCCGCTCCAATTTTGTGTTTTCTCCTAATCAAGTAGGATTCCTTTCATCGATTTGGCAAATAATAGTTCGTTTTAGGGAAGAGCGAGTGCATTGTACCGCATACTATAGTTGCCGTTTATATAAGTGTAGAAACATTTTGTAGATACAGTCCACTTAGATTAATAGCTCGCGTAATAGGTTTTAAGGTTCGACCGGGGAATTAGACTTCGGCAACCTTAGGCTCGACGCTCCACCAGTTACCATTAAGGACACAAAGTAACACTGGTGAACTGGTAGTGAAGTCCTCTCCCAGAGATAGCTATATATAGGGCATATTTGGCATATTTGCCGTAGTCGCCACCAACACAATAGAATGGCTGTCAACTTTATTTTGTACGAGGCTTGGCGTCACCAAACCAGATTCGCTGTGTTGACAGAATAAATAAATTTACACATTTTAGACTTTTGATTAATGCTTTTGAATAACCATCTTTAAAAAAAATTTAAATTTTAATACGTATTTATTTGTAAATAGGGTGCAATTTGGGTATTCTAAATAATTATCATGCGAAATTTGGAAAAGATTGTAACGTCAAAACACATCTCGACTTGACATTTATTCATCAATCCATTACAGTCCATAAAAATCGACTGTTGGAGAATCTGCCATAGCTGCCACGCTTGGCATCTCCTGTTCAGTTCGCCTCTTACGACACCCACACGACGATATGGGGTACTGGATATTCTTACACCACCACTACACGGTGCAGAATTATATCTGCCGATAATAGTAAGAGTGTGTAAATACCTTTATTTGTTCTCGGCGTGTCTATAACAGCTCTTATGCAGGAAATGAGCTCATCTATGTCGCCCTTTATTTCCGTGAGTAGTGCCATCCCTTGCGCGGGAGTCTGGCACAACTTGAAGTTCGCTAACATTATCTGCAGCAAAATTTTAACCGATTCATCTACAATTTATTTTTAAATCTATGTAAATAAAATAATTTATGAAATTCATGAATTATACTAAAACTTCATTTTTAATGTTAATATTTGTGCCATGTCCTTTAAGAGCTCAATCTTTCAAAGCAAAACAGAAAAATGACGTTCAGGTAAACCATCTACGCCCCGCCTGCCCCGTCACCGCCTGTGACGTCACCACTGTCATCTTTCCTACCGTAGCGTGAAAAATTGCTCTACTAAGATTTTTTACAGTATATCTGTACAGTCAAAACAAACTGAAATGGACCGTAACTTAAGGCACTAAGACTTTTAAGAGTGCAGTTTCATTTGTATGATTACTAATTCTGTCATTCAATAAAAATAAAGAAAAACGAACTTTATTTCAAGCACGTTAAAGTCTTCGTTTGTGGATTTGTACTGTGACCACAATATTCTTCCGGAATTAGTATAACTAATTTGATAAATAATTATACTAATATTTTATATTATACTAATTTTAATTATTATACTAATTGAAAATGTTTACCTAAAAATTCAGTGTATGTATTATGATTATAACATACAATATACTAATTTGGATGTCTGAGGGTTAATTACGTTACATACTGTATATACAGGATTAATATAATTAGCTAAAAACCTCCTGCATGCAGCTTTTCTATCTCATATCTAACTACTTTTTTCCAAGTCTGTTATGGTCGCCCCCCCCCGCACTGCGACGAAGGGTGACAAACCAAGCAACCAATCAGCGCGTGGCCTACTCCGCAAGTTCGTGTAGAGACTCGACGCCCACGCGACCCCAACCGCGGGAATAAATTACCCCGGCCGTGCCAATATGTTTTGGAAACACGTCGCCGAGTACCGGAACAAACTCGTGTCTAAAGTCTAGGATTAGGGACGCCTAAATCTAGTTTAACCCTCATAAGGCAAAGGTTTGCGCGTTTACCGCTAAAAAGAACGAACTCCTTTGTCGTATCTTCAATTTCAGGGCACTTGAAACTCCTTTGCTGCCTTAGCCTGCATCGGAATCCTCGGCGTCGACAAATCCACGTACAGATCCGCGGTAACTTGAAAGGGAAGACTAAATTGGCCTCGAAAAAGCTTGGCGTGATCGGCAGAGCGGGACAGTATTTCATGCCGGAAACTTTACAAGCCGCAGGTTGACCTCACATGGAATAAATTCCTCATCTCTTGACCGGTGCTCCCCAGTACCAGTTCTTCCACTTGACTGCATCCAGTGAAGAGCGACTCGAATCGTAGACGAACCGATTCTTTTTAATAGGCTCTATTCACTGGAGCTGCGAAACGATGACAGTAGTTCATGGGCGGTGGTCGACACATACCATCAGATGAGTCGCAAGCTTTTTGACTATCTTCTTTAATTGGGAACGAAATAAATACGAAGTCTAAAAAAAAGAGATGTGAAGTATTATTTTCTCACGTCGAAAAATGTAATACACTTATGTAATTGCTCGTATAAGGGAGCGTTGATAAAATAGAGCGGGTTTGCTGGTGGGATGTTAACTGGAGAGCATACAGTAGCAGTTAGATGAGCAATAAATAACACTTCTTGAGAGTTTCTTCTTATTTAATTTCTTGATTCCTTATTATTACATTGCCGGATTTGGAATGTTTTACCACGAAAAAACGCCCCTTTTTTATAAGCGGCTGTAACCAATCATACCAATCATAATTAAGAAAAAATCGCACACGGCATTAGTGAATCTATTGACCAATCAGAGCACAGAATAACCCTTTCTAAGAGAGATTTACAATTTCCTTAATGAACGTGGTAAAACATACCTTACAACATTTATATTTATTCCTAACGATATATACAACTTATTTCTATTATTCTAAACCTAAATTATTCAATAAACCTTTATTTTACACTTATAAAAAATAAAAATAGCTTCGCGGTCGCCTCACGGTTTAGCTCCGGAGTAGGATAGTATTTTTGCCGAACATACAAGTAGCGCCCCAAGAGGTAGGAATGTACAACACTTTTTTTTTTTCAGGAATAATGCTTAAGAATCTATACAATATTTTTTCATGAAATTTAAATCTTTCTCATAATGAAATAACATTATATAGTGATTAATTGACATATTAATGTTTCTTTTGAATTACTTTAAAGGAAAAAGAATTATATTAATCACCTATATGTTAATAGCTCTTAAAGTTATGATAAAAGAAATCTTACTAGAAAATAAGCTTATACTTGCGTCTAATGTTCTAATCAGACCTAAATAATATTAAATAGATTCATATAAGTTACTTTAAGATAAGAATAGAAGTGTTTAATTTACTTTCCCGTTTTCAGCACTAATCAGTCTTTACACTTAGCTTTATTTTACGAATAGGAAACAATTAAGATTAAATACTATCACTTAGTTTTAAATCACTGATAAGAAATAATTAAGATTAAATGTTCGAATTCACTTTGTCATCGCTAACAACTTAATTTCATTTTATGGCTGTTCAATAAGAAAAAAAAAATTGGGTACGTCAACACAATTATCTGATAACATACCTTAGTTGGTGATGGATCCAAAGACAGCAGCGCGTCTGTATACAATCTGACCAACTCCGCGAGTGGCGTCTCCGACTTTAGCACCGTGGTTAACCATTCGACCTGATGATTAAAGAAATGAGAAGCGAACTGAGAAGGAAGCCATTTTTAAAAATTCGCTAGATCCACACTACAACTGCGACACTGCACTGTTGATAGAATTAAATACCATTAATGTTTGTGCCAATTTTGTTGATTAATTTGGATTTTGCTTATTATTTGTTAATTTAAAACGGCAAACAAAAATTAACAAGTTTAAGAAAGCAAAAAAAAAAAATTGCAGAAAAGGAATATTTCTGTAGTTAATGATTTTTTTCAATAAATACTTAGGAAAGGCTATAAACGTGTGCTATAAATCAGTACTTATAGTTTTTCCCCCTCTAGTTCTTCTGCTTCCAGTCTCATTTATATTTGTCGTCGGGCGAGTGCGCTGGCCAGCCTATAGCATTGATTTAACTATGCAAACAGTATTCCGTAGTATGGGGGCATGCCGCACGCATTATCATGCGTCTGCGCGCATTGCGGCGGTGAGGTAGCACGGCGCGAGTGCGATGTGTATGTGTATGTGTGTGTGTGTGTGTGTGTGTGTGTGTGTGTGTGTGTGTGTGTGTGCGCGTGTGCGTGTGCGTGCGTGTGCGTATGTGTGTGTGTGTGTGTGTGTGTGTGTGTGTGTGTGTGTGTGTGTGTGTGTGTGTGTGTGTGTGTGTGCGTGCGCGCGCGCGCGTGTGTGAGTGTGTATGCCGCGTGTATGTGTGTGTGTGTGTGTGTGTGCGTGTGTGCGTGTATGGCGTGTGCGTGTGCCTTGTGTGTGTGTGTGTGTGTGTGTGTGTGTGTGTGTGTGTGTGTGTGTGTGTGTGTGTGTGTGTGTGTGTGCGTGTCTCAGTGCTCACTTGGCGCTGTGCGTCGGCGCGCAGTGCGGCGGTGAGGTCGCGTGGCGCGGGCGCGGCGGCGCGCCTCCAGGCGGCGGCGTGACGCGCGGAGGTCGCTTGCCGCCAGCAGCGCGCCGCGGACGATACACGCGACATGCCGCGGAACAGCGACACGTACGCGCTCGTGCGCTCTAAGAAAGAATACATAAATCTTGTTAATAATTAAACATGCGACACAACGAACTTCCTCCTTAGGACTTCAATTTTTAACCCCTTTTTTCGTTTAGTTTTTATATAGGTAGCTTACTTTAATCACACCCAATCTCCCGAACAAAACCTCACTAATTGCAATACCACAATACTTAGAACAATTAATGACAAGAGCATTGACATAGTAAAAACAGCATAGTACGATAACTCCCGCACCGCGCGAGACTTAAATGCCTACTGTAGCAGGGTTGTCACTGTCTTTTTGTTTAATAGCTAAGTCTCATTTAGTTTTATAAGTAGTTATAATATTTACAAACATAATACATACAGATACTTATGCATCATATTTGTTAATCTTTTCTTTAGATTCCCATCAAAAAATCAATGTTTTTCAAAAAAATCCAGCTTTACATCGAATTTACATCAAATGCCAAATAACTAAAATACGAGTAAACTAACACTGAGCATATGGTGTCAGCTCAGACTTAATGTTTAAAATTAGTTTGACCTGATGTGATATGATAATTAATGTACTTATGAGGTATTTATCTATGTATAGATATAGTAATACTAATTTACTTAAACAAATATTAATTTAATTTACAAAAAGAGAAAATAAAACAAAAAAAGACTGCTAGCAAAACCACTATTACGAAGCGCGGCGATGGGCGTCCCCGACTCGGCCCGATCTTCGCGACATAGCTAGTGTTGTTGTGTGCGTGCTGTGGCTCATGCGTACGAGTCCGTACTGTCACGTGCCAGGCACGCACACATATTACTTTCTGACTTAGCAAGTGTCGTTGTGTGCGTGCTGTGCCTCGTGCATACGAGTCCGTACTGTCACGTGCCAGGAACGCGCACATATTACTTTCCGACTTAGCAAGTGTCGTTGTATGCGTGCTGTGCCTCGTGCATACGAGTCCGTACTGTCACGTGCCAGGAACGCGCACATATTACTTTCCGACTTAGCAAGTGTCGTTGTATGCGTGCTGTGGCTCGTGAATACGAGTCCGTACTGTCACGTGCCAGGCACACACACATATTACTTTCCGACTTAGCAAGTGTCGTTGTGTGCGTAGTGTGGCTCGTGCGTACGAGTCTGGACTGTCACATGCCAGGCACGCACACATATTACTTTCCGACTTAGCAAGTGTCGTAGTGTGCGCGTGCTGTGGCTCGTGCGTACGAGTCTGGACTGTTACATGCCAGGCACGCACACATATTACTTTCCGACTTAGCAAGTGTCGTTGTCTGCGCGTGCTATGGCTCGTGCATACGAGTCCAGACTGTCACATGCCAGGCACGCACACATATTACTTTCCGACTTAGCAAGTGTCGTTGTATCGCGTGCTGTGGCTCGTGAATACGAGTCCGTACTGTCACGTGCCAGGCACACACACATATTACTTTCCGACTTAGCAATTGTCGTTGTGTGCGTAGTGTGGCTCGTGCGTACGAGTCTGGACTGTCACATGCCAGGCACGCACACATATTACTTTCCGACTTAGCAAGTGTCGTTGTATGCGTGCTGTGGCTCGTGAATACGAGTCCGTACTGTCACGTGCCAGGCACACACACATATTACTTTCCGACTTGGCAAGTGTCGTTGTGTGCGTAGTGTGGCTCGTGCGTACGAGTCTGGACTGTCACATGCCAGGCACGCACACATATTACTTTCCGACTTAGCAAGTGTCGTAGTGTGCGCGTGCTGTGGCTCGTGCGTACGAGTCTGGACTGTTACATGCCAGGCACGCACACATATTACTTTCCGACTTAGCAAGTGTCGTCTGCGCGTGCTGTGGCTCGTGCGTACGAGTCCAGACTGTCACATGCCAGACACGCACACATATTACTTTCCGACTTAGTAAGTGTCGTTGTGTGCGTGCTGTGGCTCGTGCGTACGAGTCCGTACTGTCACATGCCAGGCACGCACACATATTACTTTCAGACTTAGCAAGTGTCGTTGTGTGCGTGCTGTGGCTCGTGCGTACGAGTCCGGACTGTCACATTCCAGGCACGCACACATATTACTTTCCTACTTAGCAAGTGTCGTTGTGTGCGTGCTGTGGCACGTACGTACGAGTCCGTACTGTCACATGCCAAGCACGCACACATATTACTTTCCGACTTAGCAAGTGTCGTCGAGTGCGTGCTGTAGCTCGTGCGTACGAGTCCAGACTGTCACATGCCAGGCACGCACACATATTACTTTCCGACTTAGCAAGTGTCGTTGTGTGCGTGCTGCGGCTCGTGCATACGAGTCTGTACTGTCACGTTGTAGTGTATGTGCCTCCACCCTACTAGCATATGTTAATAAATGTACTTACTCTTAGGTTTAAGTGACAGTATAATTAAAGTCTTGAGTAGAGAAACACGTCTTCCTTTCATTTACCAACCGTTCAACATTACATGGCGACCCTGCCAGGCGGTGCGCGGCGACAAGGCACGCGCACCGCCGCGGCCTGCACAAGTAGTTAAAGAAACATGGAAAAATAAATATAAAACTAAAGGAACAATTTTCAACTATTGAATTGACACTACCGGATATGACAAGTAAGCCGAAACGGAGACATAAGAAGAGGCGACAAGGTTATTATTTCTTTAAGGAGATATGCTAATAAAACCTATTAGAAAAAGAAGAAAAATGTTACGAAAAAAAACGGGAACGATCAACTTCAGAAACAAATATTATGACAGCTTCAAATATTACATGAAGATTAAACGAATTAGATGGTGAGACCACAAATTTAAGAAAAATAGAAGAAACTTCCTGCAAGCCTTAACCGATAAGAAGATAGAAAAATTGAGCCGAAAAGAACAAATTATGAGGTAACTTCGCACCTATGTGATTTTAATTCTATTTCAAACTTTATTTAACAATTTAAGATTGGTTTTTTTTGCTATTATGTTTTTAAAGTTAGATATTAAATATTCTGTATTTTACATATAATTAAGTTGAAATTAGTTATCAGATTATTCACAATATACTTTATTATCAAATATTTTATTACCTACAAAAAATAATAATAATAAAAAAAAAAACAATTATAATACAGTATTAAAAATTAAGTTGAATTTTAAGCACTTATGTGGCAGTTCTATTAAGGCGCCAGACCAGACTTTATATTCTCATTTATGAAGTTATAGTTTTGTATTATTTTTTTACTGTGTCCTGCCAAACAATTAATGAAATAATAAAATAATAGATTCCAATTTTACGCACTTGATTTAAAATAACACTGTGATACATTTCGTTGATTTTTTTTTCTCGAATCCAAATTTTAAAGGGTTAGAAACATTTCACTATCATTATAAGTTTTAATTTTTTTTAAAGGCATTAAATCTTAAATTTATATAAAAACTTATGTAAAATATAAAAAAATTCCTTTTAAATGTTTGAATAAATTATTGTATCATTGTGTAAAGGTGATAACTCTTATAATGTGATTTTCAATTATTCTGTATACACGACATAATAAATAACATACATTCAGTAATATTTTTCGATCTGTATAAAAGCGATATAGCTTTTAACGATGTAACCATGTGGACTTCTGAATAAATAAGAAATTAAAAATATTAGTTTAAGGTACATTTTTTTTACTCGCAATCATTTATATGAGTACTACTACTTATGTAGTAACAAATTGTACACGTTAAGTTGACATTAGGCACGATCATACGATGCGATTATTTTAACGTTTATTATCAATTATATTTTTCATATTTTCTGGCTAAAATAACACTTTTTATTTCTTTTGAAAGACAAGAAACTAGTTAGGTAAGTAAATATAACAAGAGTCAATCTTTACACAGTGAATATAAAAGGTCTGCTAACCATTTCTTACGAATGATACTGATGTTTCTAAAAATATTATATTATAAAATGTTATGCAATGAGCGTATCCTATAAAAAAACATGGTAACAGATGATAAATTTAAACTGAACACAGCAACATGCAACACATTAACAGGTGTAGGATAAATCATAACAACATCATAATAGCGATAAAAATAATAAGTATAGGAAAATAAATGAGTAAATGGTAATAGTATTGTTACAGAGATGAAAATAATAAATAAATAACAGTGTAAACAGGAATAAAATAGTTAAGAGAGGTTTTAATACTAATGGTTCAAAAAAAAGTTAAACACCGACAAAGAAAATTTATTGATAAGAATGTTATCTCATTTGTACAAAAATTAGAAAGCATGTAATTGGTATGAGGAACGGAAGAATGTTCGAACGTGTAAATTATACGAATGATTTAGTTACTAAGTTTTGTCAATATTGGACTGATCACCCAAATATTGATGATACTTAAACTGTGCGACTTGAAATGTGTGAGAATGATGCAAGTTAGTATATAGAAGTGGGGCACGAAAGTATATAAATAAAGAACAAGGTAATGAAGAAATAAAGACGGAATGAATATTTATGGCAATAATAAAAATAAATAAAAATATGACATTGACCAATAAGTAATGGAGAGATATGGGAACGTTCAACACTGGTATAGCGTATAGTCCTCGAACAGGGTACGTTTCCGTGATTGGACGATGAAATCGGAGTAACGGGTACTAGGGAACAACGCCTTCAGCACAAGTGATGTAACTGAGTTTACTCATATTAGTACTGTTAGGGACCAGAGAAGTCTTAAATTTGTTACCCTTAATAATGGTACATTGAGGTCACATCCTTCGTTGGATCATGGTGCGAACTTAGTTTTCCTCAGTGACAATTGTTGGAGTCCTTTTAATGACTTAAACGTAGACCTCAAGGTTGTGCGCACAACCCAAGGTACACTTTTACCTTGATATAATTACGAAAAAAATTTATGTACCAATAAAATGAAATGAATGTTACGAAAATGTAATATAATACCCAAATAAATGGGGGGCCCATATTTATAAAGTACCCGCGTGATAAATATCACGAAATAAAATATAAATGAAATGAAATAATACTCCGATTCCCGGTATCTAATAAATAAATAAATATATAAGTGAATAGAGAGAAATAGAGCTAGCTAAAGGTCAAAAATATTAAGAAGAAAAAAAGAAAGTACGTACAAGAATTATGGAAAAAAGGCCTAATACGAGGGTTTACTGCAAAAACCTGCTAAATGACAATTTTTCAAAAAATTTGTTAAATACATGAAGGTACTAAGTTTTTTGAGCTCTATATGCTGGTAAAACCGGCTAAGTGATACGTTAAGCCGTTTAGAATTTATTTCATGGTAAAACCAGTTAAATCAAGCAAAATGGCCTATACTTAATAGCTAAAATAACATAAAGTTCTTTACTAATAAATTTCCATTTAATGTTATCCCGAAAAAAGTTTTAAGTGTTCTTAAATCCTTTCTCTTTTTGATAGGTTACGCAAAATGTTCTCACGAACAATCAGTAAAAAAGTACTAGAAATACATAAACGTATATAATAGAATATACTTGTTTATCATGCCATTAAAACATTACTGCAAAAACCGTCTATATAACTTTAATTGTAAATACTTGTACTAAAATATTCCATTTATCTCGGATCGTTAGCATGTAAAACCGACTAAGCGATTCTAGCTTGTTTATGCAATATACTTCAATTGAATTGTCGTCATGTGACACTATGGAAAAAAAAATAACCGCGGTCAACACGTTTTAACAGGTTGCCGATGGCTTAGTTCGCTTGGAGTGTTTACCGCGAAAAGACCGTGAATGTATCGGGCGTAGTATTTAAATTTAGTTTTTAGTAATTGTAAGTGTTGTGACAGATTATATTTGTTAAGATGATGTCAAGAGGAAAAAAAACTAGTATCTTTAGTGGCCGTAAATTGTGAAAAGGTTTCTGGTAAGTTAAATTTCGAGGTTGTGTTTTCTAACGAAGTTTTATTACAATTTCTGTTCATTTTTAGGGTTCCGTAGTCAACAAGGAACCCTTATAGTTTCGCCATGTCTGTCTGTCCGTCTGTCCGTCCTCGCTTAATCTCTGTGACCGTTAGCACTAGAAAGCTGAAATTTGGTACCAATATGTGTATCAATAATGCCGAGAAAGTGGTAAAATAAAAATTGGAAAAAATGTTTTATTAGGGTAGCCCCCCTATATGTAAAGTGGGAAGTGATTGTTTTTTAAATTTCAACCCTGACGTGTGATATATTGTTGGAAAGGTATTTAAAAAGGAATAGGGGTTTACTAAGATCATTTTTTGATAATGTCAATAATTTCGGAAATAATCGCTCGAAAAGTAAAAAACAATGTGTCCCCCCCTCTAACTTTTGAACCATAAGTTTAGAAAATATGAAAAAAATCTGAAAAGTAGAACTTTATAAGGACTTTCTAGGAAAATCATTTTGAACTTGGATGGAAAGTCGGAGCGCATGCCGCGGAGCGTGCAATGTTGCACGCTCCATGTTCGCGCACGTACCCACTACCGGGGAGCAGTTGCAGGAGCGCGGTGCGCTGCTGGAGCGCGAACATAATGGATACCCACCTTTAAACTCATAAGTGGGAACACTTATTGTGACGGACGGGAAATTACGGAACCCTACACTGAGCGTGGCCCGACACGCTCTTGGCTGGTTTTTATTTCTTATAGAGTTATTTATTTTTTAGAAAATGAACAAAGTTCACATGCAGGCCTGGTAGATATTCAAGAAATTCAATCTACATCTTATAACAACGCGGATGCTATAGACTTTCATCATTCACAAATTCATGGTAAAATATTAAGTACTTAATTTATAATAGTACATACTACTATAGACTATTATATTATCACTCGCGTTTGAGATCGATAAAGACGACTTTTTTACATACTTTCTAGTATTCAAATAAACATGGATGGCTTGTGTCAAGGTTTATAAAAATGACAAGTCAAATGCCAACATTAAACGTTTAATTAAACGTTTAAAAAAAGGAATAAGATCCAATACTAATCAAAATGCTTAAACTTTATACTGTATTTTTAGATGGTCCGGGTAACGAAACGTTCTTCAATACTCTCATTAAATCTACGGCATGCTGTTCTAAATACCAAAAAGGTAAAAATACCATCTTTTTCTTAATAAAGTACATGCAAAATTTATAATTTAAGACCTCTTAATCTGAATCTTAACTTAGCATTTGTGTCTCTTTTAGGCGAAGATTCTGATGATAATGTTGAAACAGAATTGGAAAGTTTATTTGGAGATGTTTCCGATGCTGTCGACCCAACTTATCGCCTGCCAATTTTCTCTCACCAACTGGAAAACGAAAATTCCAACAATCTTGTAACATTAGAAGATTTACTAGGAAACAAAGAAAATTTTAATGCTGAAAAGTTTGATGTCGAGCACATACAGAACAATATTGAAGTTCTTGACCAAGGTTATGAACAACATCGCGAAATAACAGCTATAATTGAAGATATTTTGGATGAGGTTTTTAAAAAAGCTTGGTTACTTATTGAACCGTTAAAAAGATGGCGAAAATCAGACCCAAGCAGTTGGGCTCGTAATGTAGTTAAGAAAAGACGAGCAGATGGTTTGCCTTATAAATCCAAAGCTAACATCAGACCAGCTAAGGTACCAAAAGAGATAGATTGCTCCAAGTGTCAATTTAAGTGTACTATACTATACTGTCTTTGATACTACTGATAGAGATAAGTTTTGTAGATTCTTTTGGAACTTAGATTTTCTGGGCAGAAAGAATTTTATTTTAGCCAATGTTACCATTCAAATGCCAAAAAGAGTTCTCTCTGTGCGTAATCGACGTCGTCCAGAAAAAAAATATACAAAGAAGTGTTTCTTTACTAAACAAAATTTAAAAAAACAGGTATGTCAGAAATTTTTTTTGTAATACTTTAAGTATTTCTCCTGCAGTAATAACTGATGCAATCAATAAACGGAATGACATGAACTGTTTTGATGTAAATGACCAAAGAGGTGCACACGAACCAGTTAATAAAACGAAACCTGACATTATCCAAGGAATAAAAAAACACATCGAATCATTTCCTTGTATGGAAGCCCATTATAGTAGAAAAGACACCAAACGTAGGTATTTAGATAAAAATCTCAATATTCGAAGGATGTATTTATTGTACAAAGATGAGTGTTTAAAAAATGGTTCTGAGCCAGCTTCTGAAATAACATACCGTAGAATATTTTCAAAAGAGTATAATCTGAGTTTTTTCGTGCCCAGGAAAGATCAATGCTTAATATGCACTAATTATGCTAAAGCAGATACAGAGAAAAAAAGAGAACTTGAAGATGACTACCAAGCTCACCAAGAAAGAAAGAAAATTTGCAATCGAGAAAAAGAGAAGGATAAAGTTAGATCAAACACAGATGAGCATTTTAGCTCTGTAACATTTGATTTGCAAGCAGTACTTCAAATACCTGCCAGCGACGTAGGTCTGCTCTATTATTCAAGAAAGTTGTGTGTATACAACCTCACAATCTACGAAGCAGCTCTACCCAATAATGCCTTTTGTTTTACATGGTCAGAGGTAAATGGAAGGAAAGGCAGTTCTGAAATTGGAACCATATTATTACACTACCTTTTAAATTGTGTCTGTGATAATGTTACAGAAATTAGCTTATTTTCAGACACTTGTTGTGGCCAAAACCGAAACCAATTTGTGGCTGCTTTGCTTCTTTGGGCAGTCCAAAAAATTGACCACCTTAAAGTCATAGAACAAAAGTTTTTAGAATCTGGGCACACGCAAATGGAAGCAGATTCTATGCACAGTAGTATAGAATTTGCAAAAAAAAAAATACCTCTGTTTTTCCATGATGGAATGGATTTCTATTTTCAAACGTGCTAGACGCAGGCAAAGTATTAAAATTGATGGTAAGAAAATGACAAGAGAACCATACCATGTAAAAGAATTTAAGTATGATGAGTTCCTTGATCTGAAGCACCTTGCAGGTGAGATTATGAAAAATAGAACGAAAAATGAGAAAGGAAAACAAGTTCAATGGTTGAAGATAAAGCGGATAAAATATGTTAAAGGGGAGGACAGAAAAACTTATTTCAACTATGACATGAGCGACGAATTTAACGTAATGGATATTGGAGACAATCCATCAACTTTCCAATTAGATGGCGCGCAGAATCACAACTATTCAACAAGGAAGAAGAAACGACTTACTGAAAATGATTTACCTGTAAGTTATCGATTTCCAGATCAATTAAACTGCCTTTATAAAGAGCCACTTAAAATAAGCGCGGCCAAGAAAAAAAGATCTTTTAAATCTATGTAGGAAAGGCATCATACCAGAGGAAGTTCACGGTTGGTTTGAAAATTTAAATGTTGACAGTCAAGCTATTGATAAATTGCCAGAACCAGCAGTAGATGAAACTGTAAGTGGAGAAGAAGAGTGATTTCTTAATAATTAAGATATTTGTTAAATTTAATGAAAATACTATAGTAGTTACACTCCACACTCTTCTTCTCCACTTTCAAACTGATTCTATTATAATTTTTATTAGTCAATAAAAATAATATTGTGAATTTAACCTCTTATTTTACAACACTTTTATCCTAAAAGTTAAAAAACATTTACAGGTAAAACCAACTAACTTTTTCTTTCATAGCTTACACAATAAATTATTTCTTTTATGATTGTATCAGTATTTAAAACGTAGTTATTTATTATCAGCTACCCATCATTAATCACAAACCATATAAAACATCAATTATCTCGGTAAAACTGCATTTTAGCAATTGACATGTAAAACCGACTAACTGCACGCCTTTACTTGAAAAAATCCTTATTTCAAGATTTCTGTCACACATATTTATTCAGACTTCACATAAACATAATCTTATATAAATATTCTAACATATGACTACTAATGTATGTAAGACCTACCAAAATTTTAGTGATTAAATTAGGTGTAAACTTTTAGAACTCTTTAACTCAAAACTAACTTCGCTGAACTTAGCTGGTTTTTGCAGTAAACCCTCGAATAATTGATGACAATACAGGATAATAAGGGGATCCCCGAGCAAATTAAAAAGTGTGATAAATGTATGATAATCTAATAGTGGATAGATGGTTATTTTGCAATTCTATATTAGGACTATTAACGCTACCCAAAATGCTACTAGCAAGTTGCACATATAACAGCTATAGGGTTCGATTCGCACAACTACACGTAAACAAATAAAAATATATCATACCAATATGATAAGTACACTTTCGCGTAAATTTATATAAATTTACGAGATTTTTTTCATATTTAGGCACATTAATTCGTATTTACAATGATTCTACTTTAAATAATTTTTTTCTGTCTCATGTTTTCTTATGTAAAATGTGTACAATTTTGAACTACATTTATATAAAGCTTATTATAATCAAGTCCAAAGGTTATCGATACACTATTATTGTAAATTGTATAATGTAATCGTTTTTTTTTTCTATAAAAAAAGGCAACGAAAACCTAAAATTGTGTCACCTGCTTGAAATAAAATTGGCTTTTCCAATGTAAATAAATATTTTGTAAAAAAAAAAACTTTAGCTGTGTACCTAACAGTGTATTCTCTTTTTATATAAATTTCTGTCCAAATTAAGATAAACGTATTTCTTAGAAGTAAAAGTAATATTTTATTATTAACAATGCAACTATTTTTAAATATCTGTTCCAAGTTTTAAGGTATATTTTACTTGCATTCATATTTTAACATATTATGGAAGTTACTTAATGTTAGGTATGAATCACCACACCTTGTGATCATAGTCCGATGTAATTGCAAACGTAGCCTTATACGTACCTACCTACTTAGAAATTTAAAACGTAGGTGTCACAAACCGCTTACGCAACTGGGATTGCAAGTTGTATTTTGATTCCCGTTATTGCTGATAGCGATGATATTTGCGTTGCATTACATTATGTTTTTTGCTCTTTTCATATTTAAATGAAATGTAATATTATCGGTGTTATACTCATTAAACCATTCAAGTCATTAATTTCTGAAAATATAGTAGAATATTAATGTCTAACCTATTTGTGTGGATCATGAAAGCAATAGTTAAACAAATATAAAGGTATAAATAAATTAAATATAAAGTATATACAATTATGAATACAAATGTGAATAAATATATATAAAGGTAGAGAAGGTACTGCTTAATATGAAATGTAATAATTTATTTTCCGTTTTATATTGTTTGAATTTTTAAATTATAACTTCTAACTAGAACATATAGTTAATGCAATAAATCTCGAGTGAAAATAAATGTAAAAAAAAATATTAATAAGTATATGGTATGATAGGTGGTATGTTCATGTTAACGTGCAGTTGTGACATTGATTAATATCAAAAATACGACAGGCTTAATGTCGTACGAAATAAAAATGTTAACGAAATAAAATCGCATGCGTATCACGGATTGACTTAATAATATGATTATGTATAACCATGGTATAATCTGATCATGATCATGAGATTATAATTTTTTTTAAATGAAGTTAGTTTTATATTTTGTTTAACTACGTTATTTTATTCCAATTAGAAATTATATACATTTAAAGCCTATGTAACATTGTATTTTATTTTAATCTTCAATATTAAAAGATTAAAAATAAATATTAAAAATTATTCAATATTAAAATTATTATTATGTTATAAGATTCATGAAAACTAAAATGTAAAAAAAAGTAAATAGAGAACTTTCCTTTTTTTTTAAGTATCGGGGGAGGTGTAGTGTATGTGCCTCCACCCTACTAGCATATGTTAATAAATGTACTTACTCTTAGGTTTAAGTGACAGTATAATTAAAGTCTTGAGTAGAGAAACACGTCTTCCTTTCATTTACCAACCGTTCAACATTACAACGTGCCAGGCACGCACACATATTACTTTCCGACTTAGCAAGTGTAGTTGTATGCGTGCTGTGGCTCGTGCATACGAGTCCGTACTGTCACATGCCAGGCACGCACACATATTACTTTCCGACTTAGCAAGTGTCGTTGTATGCGTGCTGTGGCTCGTGCATATGAGACCGTACTGTCACATGCCAGGCACGCACACATATTACTTTCCGACTTAGCAAGTGTCGTTGTATGCGTGCTGTGGCTCGTGCATATGAGACCGTACTGTCACATGCCAGGCACGCACACATATTACTTTCCGACTTAGCAAGTGTCGTTGTGTGCGTGCTGCGGCTCGTGCATACAAGTCTGTACTGTCACGTGCCAGGCACGCACACATATTACTTTCCGACTTAGCAAGTGTCGTTGTATGCGTGCTGTGGCTCGTGCATACGAGTCCGTACTGTCACATGCCAGGCACGCACACATATTACTTTCCGACTTAGCAAGTGTCGTTGTATGCGTGCTGTGGCTCGTGCATATGAGACAGTACTGCCACATGCCAGGCACGCACACATATTACTTTCCGACTTAGCAAGTGTCGTTGTATGCGTGCTGTGGCTCGTGCATACGAGTCCGTACTGTCACATGCCACGCACGCACACATATTACTTTCCGACTTAGCAAGTGTCGTTGTATGCGTGCTGTGGCTCATGCATACGAGTCCGTACTGTCACATGCCACGCACGCACACATATTACTTTACGACTTAGCAAGTGTCGTTGTATGCGTGCTGTGGCTCGTGCATACGAGTCCGTACTGTCACATGCCAGGCACGCACGCATACTACTTTCCGACTTAGCAAGTGTCGTTGTATGCGTGCTGTGGCTCGTGCATATGAGTCCGTACTGTCACGTGCCAGGCACGCACACATATTACTTTCCGAATTAGCAAGTGTCGTTGTGTGCGTGCTGTGGCTCGTGCGTACGAGTCTGGACTGTCACATGCCAGGCACGCACACATATTACTTAAATAAATTATACAGCATGGGTTTTACCCCAAAACTTCTAAAATTTTTTGCTGATTACCTTTCAAATAGAAAACAGTTCGTTAGCCATGGATCCTTTATTTCAAAGTCATATCATTAGCGCTCAGGTGTAAGCCAGGGTTCAGTTTTAGGCCCCCCTTATCTTTCTCATTATGGTTAACGATCTCATTAAAGTAGTAAAGCATGCCAAATGCCTCCTATACGCTGACGATTTGAAATTAGTCCAAGTGATTGATAAGGATGTAACTCCCGAACATCTTCAAAGTGACATCGACCGAATCCATAAGTGGAGTATAGATAATAAAATGATGTTTAATGCCGGTAAATGTTACGTCATGACCTTTAGCCGCAAGTTACAACCTACACATGCCACCTATACCTTAGCAGATGTTAAATAAAGCGCGTGTCAACAATTAGAGATCTTGGCGTGACATTTGACTGCGGATTGACTTTCCATGCACACATGTCTGCCCTAGCTTCAGAATCTTACAGACGCCTAGGTTTTGTCCTACGAAATGCCCGTGATTTCAATAATCCTATTGTCATCAAATTATTATTTAACTGTCTAGTTAGGAGTAAGTTAGAATTTGCTGCAGCCATCTGGAATCCCCACGAATCCATATATGAATTGTTGATTGAAAAGGTTCAGGAAGCCTTTCTGCGTTTATTATATAAGAAGATTTACGGATAGCACAATACTTTGTGTACACTTTATATGCCTAACAACTACCTGCGTCATAGGCCTACTCGACGACACCGGCTGTTCGCCACATCCCATTGCCGCACTGTGTCGCGCGCGCAATCCCCGTTGTGTCGCATGCATAGTGCTTTAAACTCCTTAATGGAGACAGTCCCGGAATGTGACATCTTTAATGACACACTCAAGGTGATCATTTCAAATTGTCTCATGTTATGTGAAAGCCATGTTTGTTAGGTAAATAAGTTGTATGTTGTTATTACTTTATTCTGTTTTATATTATTTTATTTCCTCTAGTTATTGTTAAGTATGTTCGATCTCTGACTTGTTATTTGTTTTTGAATTATGTTAATTATGTTATATGTTTAGTTTTACCTATTAATTACTGTCATTGGCGAAAGCCGTTGTAATTAATTATAAATAAATAATAATAATAAATAATAATTACTTTCCGACTTAGCAAGTGTCGTTGTGTGCGTGCTGTGGCTCGTGCGTACGAGTCCGTACTGTCACGTGCCAGGTACGCAGACATATTACTTTCCGACTGTACACTCTCGACGAGAGCACTCGCCATGCCTCTCGCACAAGAAAGCGCTTTCACGAGTGTGACCTTGTACATTCTCGTTTATTCAGTTACGGTGAGGAACGGCGAGGAGATGGACGCATGATTTCGGAAGGATGGATTTTTGTCTTTATGG